AACAGTTTTTCAAAAACTTTATTGTAGTGGATCTTAGGCACAATTTTGTTGCACAACATCGATTGTTAGTTCTTAAAACAATATTTAACAGTACACCGCAATGTGCAATGATAAATACCCGGTTGTTTGAAGATGATTTTCAAAAGTTTGTAATACATTTTTCTGCAAATTGATAGACGATCCGCATTTTTTTGCACTTAAACTGCTTTAGTGTGTATAATTGTGTGTGTACTTTAATTGGAAATTTAAAAGAAGGCGAAACTCGAACAGGCATTTAGTACATGAGCACCCTTAACCTAGTATTTGCAGTATATGCAGCTTCTCCCTTGATAATTTGTTGATTCATTGTTATCAGCGTTATAAAATAAACTGCACCGAACACAATAATATCACACTCAATATGTGTATTTGAAAAGTTTATCAGATCTACAGATGCACCCGCACTAACAGAAAAATGTCGAATCCAAAGTGCAAATGTGCGTCCCAAGACTCAGGCCTCAGGCGCGAAGAGGCCGGAGTGGGAGTCGCCGTGACCGAGAAAAATCAGTTCACCCTCCCATAAAAAGTTATCACTTAACTTCAAAAAAATTCTTGTAAATCGAGCCGCGCAATTCATCCAAGAGTACGAATTTCCCGTTGTATGCATATTGAATAGTTTATTCAGGGAAGGAAGTGAAGAATAGTATTCTTCACTCAGATTTTAATCACTTTCACAGCCTATCAGGAATATTTCTCTTTCAAGATAACGAAAAATTCGAGTATTTGGACTCATTTTTGAGCGATCTCATTATTGCCTTGGAGTACCTACTTTGGTTTCAAGGCTCTCGATTACCTTTGACTCGGACTTTTTGTTTCAGCAGCCGCAGTACTCAGTCGTGTGTAGAATGTGGACTGGTGCGCGGCTACTGGTACTGCTGGTGACCGCGCTCGCAACTTACGGTGATGTTGGAGACGAGAACCAGCTGAAGGTCGGCAGGTCCATCGACATCTTCACCAGGTCAGTTTCTCAAACCTTTTGCTTTGAAAAATGCTGCCGTTTTCAGGCGAAATTCATTTTTCAATTCAATAGTACTCTCGTTGGTACCTGAATTGTGGACGCCAAACCGAACATGTTGATTGCCCTCTTTTATGATGTTTATCTACTAAAGTAAGAGATTTTTCTATTTTATGTTACATTTTTGTTTTCTTTGTGCGAATATAACTCTATGCCAACGTTTCTCCTACGTATAATCTATTTTAAACGAGTTTCAAAGCAACGAAGCCGAAACAATTCAAACATATTCAAGAAAACGAAACAACCGAATCTAGTTTCAAGATAAGCGACGAAAATAAGATTCACACGGTTGCCCAGATGTTGCGAGTGCAAATGGGAGGTCAACAGTCCATTATATTCATCTTCAGCTGAATTTCTTGCAACTGGTTCACAATGCCGATGGGAATTTCGTTAAGCTGGTGTTAAATAATATTTCCAGCCCCATCGACCCAGATTCGCATGTGTTGATTATGCGACTTCTGACCCAAAAGTTAAGTTCAGAAAATGTAGAAACGACGTATTTTTTCAATTTTTTGTATGAATTAAGTGCTCAAAGATGTCAAGGCTTACAAGCTTTGTGCTGCATAGAATCAAGAACATTTGCCAAACCAGGACCCAGCGTAATTTGCCATCTCAATACGTGTCTTCTACCAGCAAGAAACCAACTACAAAAATAAAACTTTCTAAGAAACCAAACAAGGATGATTTTTTCAAATATTGTGCACATCCGGAAACAAACTTGAGTTTGACTGCAGCACGAAGTAAATGCAAACAAGACATTAAAACAACCTTGGAAATTTCGTTAAAATTCCATATAGAAGATGCGAAACAGGTTCCCTAATGGCAAAATCCCATCATTAATCAAATGGGCAGCACAGAATTAAGTGTTTTGTTTTAAATTTCCATCGCGTATGTTAATGAATATGATTAAGGCCAAGTGTGTTGCCTTTTAAAATACGTGAACTCGCTAAAGTTGGCGTCAATATTAGCAATAATTATAAATAAACATTGGAGGAAAAAAATTAAATTTCGTTGGAAAACTTGTGGTTTTGCTGTTACTTCTCGTGTCTCAACTCATTACTTTTCATCAGCTTCATTTCAATCATTTATGATTGTGAATACTGTGGGTGAACAAATTGTCTAGCGTCTAGCGCGGCTTAGTGGAAAAATGCAATTAAAAAAATTGAAATCACCGTTCTGTTCTCATTTCATCAGCATTTTCATTAAGTAAATCAAATTACATAATTGTGCAAACAAGCAGATTGCGTGTTTGGCACAATTACGGTTGCGGCGTCGATATGAATAAATCTTAATTCTAACATCAAATTTGTTGATTTTGCGGAGGACAAAAAAATTTGTAATGAAAAATGAGAAAAGAACAACAAATAGCAAAACAGTTGAGATGAATTAAGGTCCGGCAATTGCAAAAGCGGCAAAAAGGTTACGGTCAAGACACGGTCAAGCAATTTATCGTAATGTTGCAACCTGCTGTAATTGCTGGATAACTTCAAGATCATTTTGGTCAGAGCAATGACTTGAGACATAACGGTCTTGTTTATCGAGGGGCTTTTTTTCGCCTTAAAGGCCGTGTCGTTTCATTGAACTTCTTTCTAAGGTTTTGCTAATTCGAATGATTCGCATCTTCAGGGATGATTAACCGAAAAGATGTGATTATTTTATGGAATATTTTCCTGATGTTTTGTTAGCGGGAATGACTGGCGTCTTCAGGGATGGTTGTGTGAAAAATTCAGTTAATTGCTAGCTACTGAAAGCATGAAATGTTGATAGAACAAATACGTGAATAATAACGACAGTTTGAAGTTATTTTGGAATTTTTGCAGCTTGAGTTAGACTTTCGAGGCCATTACTTGAAACTGCTGAGTTTTCCGAGCTTCAAAATTAAGGGTTTTTCGAGTTAGAAAGCTCGAAAAACTCATCAGCTTCTGATTTCGCTTGAAGAATAGAAAATATTTTTTTACTTTTGCACCACCTCTGAAGATGGAAGCCGCATGTGCTTGCGGATCATCAGCAAGAAATTCCTTTTTCGATTTTTTCGAGTTCTGATGTCGAGGCTCTTTCGAATCAGGAAAAAATAATTTCCACGGCGGCCACAAAGCTCGCCAAACTCATCAGCTTCTCATTTCGCTTGAAGAAAATATAAAATGTTTTGACTCAAACTGAACTGTTCAAACCAGACACTGTTTGCAACTAGAGTTCTTCGGATTTTGGGCCGCTGTGCTTGCGAAACATCCGGAAGATATTCGTTTTCATGACGGTCTAAAAGTGCGAAAAACTGATCAGTTTCAACTCGCAGCTAATTAATGCTAATTACTACATTACGCACACTATATGAATACGTAATTGAGCGAACTGTTACAATTTTCTACTGGTCAGTATGTTATATTATGTAAAAATCAATTAATCGTTAATAGTTGATTGGAGCAAAGTAAGACACTGAAGGTTATTTCACTTGACACTCATTAAAAACCATTAAATATTCATACGTTAAACGATATTATTTAAGAGAGGTTTGAAGGCCGTTGAATTTACCTTGATTTTTTGCGCCCCTAAATTTTTTTCTCTGGAAAGTTTGGATATTGATGAACCCGCTCCATAAAGCACCAAACCGATTATTAATCAATTAAAATCCATTCCAGATTTGGATATTTGAGCCTAAGCATGAAAGTAGTGCCCCGAAACGATTCAGACTGGATTTTCCGAGAACCGACCATCGATGTCTTCAACGAAGTCTACCAATACTCGATCCAGCCGGATCACTCATCCAGAAGCCAACGGAAGGTTTTTGACGGGGATTTTCACATGGAATTTTGCGACACCCTGAAACAGCTGGTTCAAGCCTACTTCCGGGACTTTAGGTTTGAGCTGCTGGATCAGCCCTGGAAAGCGTTCACTTCCAGCTGGAGCACCGAGACTTTGGCCAGGAATTTGGGAATAAATTCATCCTTCGTGGTCAAAGATCACTGTTATGTGCTAGTGAGATTGTCGCGGTTTCGCGATGGTTGGAAACTCCAAAGGACACCGAGAAGTGAAAATGTAGTGGGTCCAGTGCAGGATGAGATTGATAACATTAAGTTGGGTGATGTTTCCAGTGTTCTGATGTTTATCAAGAAGTTTGGATCGCATTATATTCACTCGTATGTTACTGGAAACTCATTGTATCAGGTAAATAGAAAAAAAGAAAAATTATTATAATAATTTTGTTGTTCCTGCTACAACATAAAGGTAACCTTCACGGTTCCACTTTAGTTCTCAAGTTCCATCCGGATGGCATGGCTGATGGCTAAAATAACATCGAATTAAAAATGATTGAGATGTTTTCAAGGATTCTTTACTTCCTTATAGTCGTTTTTTTTAAATAAAATTAATAAAAATCCAGTCTAAATCAAAACTAATAAGAAATCTCGGCAAATTTAATGTGAAATTAAACTGTACTAGAAAAACTGCATGAATTGGTTTCAAGGTTTGAACATTTCTCCTTCCTTGAGCATTTACTATGAATATTCCACTATTGAAAGACATGCATAGTAGATTGTTCTGCTTGGGTCTGAAGGTCTTTTTCCACCCATATTGCACGACATTTTTGCAGGCGTGTCGCATTTTGAAAACGTCCGGTAAAATATAGTTGTTTCCACTAATTAGAACAGTAAAAGGCAACAAACAATTATCATACAATGGCACAGGGTTTTGCCAATTCTAATCATGGCCTGTAGTGTTGGAAATTTTCAAATTTGCCTTTAATGGAAAATGCATAGACACAAATCAATCAAATTCGTTTGATTAAATAGGAAATGAATTCCAGGTGCAATTAAGTAAGCTGGAACAAGTGATAACTAGTAAGGACGTAATTAAGTAGCCCTAATTATGTAGGACGTCTACTTGAATTGCATTCTGCCAATTGTTTTCGCAGGAAACCGTTTAGGAAATAATCTTTCACGGTGACAATGCTTTACTATTGTTTAATGTTCCATTTTAGTGGAAATGCAATTACGGGGCTCTTTATTTCATTTATGTAATTAATACTGTGTGAATTTTGCACTTTTGCATCTCATCCCCGTTAAGTTTGTAAATGGGTAAATAATCTTTTAAAAAGTCGATTTTACTAGATATTGGGCTATGTTTGGTGTTATTTCACATTTACTTGAAGCTAATTGATATCAGCGCCTTATAGACAGTAAATATTACAACCGCGTACAGTTTATCTTTGTGCTCCAGTTGTTATAACGATAACATGAACGTGATATAATAAGTTGGGGGCTTTCTTAGGACGTTTATTATATATTGCACTATATGTTATGAGCAATGAACCGACAATTAAGGAGAAGGAAAGTGAAAAATGCAAAGTGCTATACGCGGCAGAAAGCCACTCAGTTACATATTTAAATGTGCCTCGAATAATAATAATAATCAACTTATTAGTCAGCATATATCGCCATAATTAAACATTTTTCTGCTGATAAACTAAGCAAACAATAATGAAACTCAGCACTTTTGCCTTTATTTTCAGGTGTTCGTGTTTAACAAAACCCGATACTACCAAGTAAAGGATGTGCTGAAGAATCAGGGGATTTCACGTGTTAGTGAAACTAAGCTAAATGAGTACTTTAGTCCCTGGTATGCCGAACATATGGGAGTTATTAAGGTGGCCAGTGGGAATAAAACAGTGGAGAATTGGGCAACGTCCAAGCTGCGGCATAATTATTTCATCTTTACTTATCCGACGCTGCTCAAGTCCAAAGGCGACCCTAGGTGAGGACTAGTTAATACATAGGTAGTTGTTGGATAAGATAAAGACGTTTATGAAAGTTGCTTAAACGAGTTAGGAGCGGCGAAGAGTTTTAGACTAGACTAGAGTGTATAGAAAAATCGTGCTTACCATTAAGCGTCGCATTTTTGTAGAAAAGGCGGCAAAACTCTGAAGAAACTCTAAACTGTTTTGAAAACTTCAATCGCGCATTTAACTGGCACAGTCACAGTGTTTGGCAAATAATTGCCAATCCTGGGCTGTCACTTACTGTGTGAAGGTACTCAGTTTAAAAATATGATTTAAAAAAAAAACACTATCCGTCGGAAAAATAGCATCAAACGATGAAGAAAATCAACAGTTTTCATCAGAAAATTTGAAAAAAGTTTGATTTTGCGAAATCCCAACGGAACAAATCTCACCTAATGTCACTTCACTTTCCGGAAAACTGCCTGGATATCAATCAATGAGCTTGTTAAAGCTCATGTACCTATGACGTATTGGACGTATGAGTATTTTTTGAATATTTTTTATTTATTTTCAGATTATTGAGTAAACTGAACAGCTTGCTGAAGAACGAGGCAATTTTAGGAATGGAAATGAGGTCTTTGGGCGCGGTAATTAAGGAGCCATCTAAGAAGAAATGGTTTGAAGAAGTGTTAGATAATTTTTTAAAGTTATGGGATAGCAATTTGTAATAGTATTTTGTGGTTACCGAATTAATTAAGTGCATTTTTTTATTTTCCAACTTTAAAATTAAACTCTATGGACGGAAGCGCATATCAAAGCGGTGGCTTCCTGTCGAAATGTGATAAAAATGTGATATATTTATATTAGCGCTCCTACATAGGCAATTATTCCAGTATTTCATTGCGTCATTGTACATAGTTTCTATGTAGTTTATTTTAGTGGATTAAGTAGGTAGTTTATTGAAAATAAATCAAGCTAAACGTAGTTAGTTAGTTTAGATTTTTATTTAAAAAAAAGCAGTTACATAAATTATCAAAAAAAGAAACAATAAATATAAAATTAATAAAAATTAAAATAGCACTAATGGTCCAACACACACAAAGAGGCATTAGATACCACTTTATCATCCACCTGCTTGCCATTGACGATCATTTGCATGGGATTTTGCACTCGGACTGTTCTGAATTTGAAATGCTACAAACCAAGCTTAGTTAGAACTCTTTCAAACCCATAGAAATCATCCTCATACATTATCTTTGTAATGAAAATCAATATCTGTAACTAGGGGCTGTGGAATGGCAACTCTGTCGCCTATTATCACTCCTTTTCCTGCTGCTAAATTATACAACGTAGTCACGATTATTGTTTCGGATTTATCTATCGAGCAGAATGTACTGGAGGGACAAATCAGGTTTTTAGAGAGTTACTAAAAGGAATTGATGCAAACACTCACAATGGCACTCCTGATTCAGTCACAACTGAACAAATCACTGTGCCCAAGATAACTTTTCCAACATTTGACCCCGGTTGCAGCTCGTTATATGGAACATTATGAAGCGCAGTTGTAGTTTCCCCACACTGTCCGGCTGCTGAATAGGGGCCCAGATATTTGGAGTTGATAGTCTGAAGCATTTATTGAGAAATTTCGAGTTCCAATTTATAGGAATTAGCAGACAGTACCTTCAATATCTGCAGCAGTTTTTTCGGTTTCAATTTGCCTTTGGTTCGAATCAATTCGACAATATTCTGAAGGTACTGAAGCAACTGCGCGCCTTGAACCTTTGGATCTTCCCACATCGGGTCGTATAAAGCAGCTGTCTCTAACGACTCCAAAGCCTGCTTATACAGTTCTTGATATTTAAAAATCTGCAAATTCAACAGCAAAAATAAATACACTTGAAACTCCAGTGAACTACGTACAATTCCCTTATTGTAATGCAACTCGACGGAAGTTTTGCAATTGATGTCTTTCTCCTAAAAGAAGTTGATTAGCTAGTGATATCAAAGGTTTTAGATCGAAGTACCGCTTGAGCGTAAGCACTTAAGCACTGTTTGATGGTGTATGGGGATTGGGTTGTTCCGAAGAATATGTACAATTGAGCGGTTCCCCAATTTAACCAAGACTTGCCATCTTGAGGGTCCATCTTGAGGGCTTCCTTTGAATAGCATGTGATCAGTTCAATCCTTTTTTTTAATGAATCCGCAGTTTCAGTCTGGGCCCGCCGCAAAATAGTTGCCAAGTTCCGAAGAGATACTTTGTTGCGCTTCTAAAACCAGTCAGAATGAACCTTTTTATCTGGAAATTCCTCAATCTGTCGCAATCACCTCTCTTAAGCCCCCTTCAAAACAGCTTTGCGCTTTAGCAAACTCATTAGCTTTAAAATAACTTTCCCCTAATTCATTCCAAGCGTCCACTATTTTTGGATCAAGCTTAATGGCTTTGGATAGCAAGCTTTCAGCCTCGCTACTGTAGGTGGTACTAATATTCAACAATTTTCCTTTTAGGTAATAATAATAGGGCTTATTCATTTCTAGGGCAGCCGACTGATGTTTGAGAAAAATTTCCAACTTTTCATCCATCTGCCTATCGAGATCTCTCGATTGGTTTGCCGCATTTTCAATGCCGTAGTTTAGAATGTATCTATCTTTGAAAAACCCTAATTCGTTGACAAGGTTCTGTAAAAGATTATAGGTTTTAAAGGTTAAATGTATTATTAATACAGAGTTCAATAGGGTGGGCTGCTGAGACAATGGAGAGAAGTAAGATTAAACAGTGGCGCAAAAGCAGCTGTTTGAAAACACACCTCTAAAAACTGAATTAAGTCTTCGTGGGGCTCCCCGCAGTCGCAGGACTGATTAGTGGCCTCTAAACTCATGCTTGCAGCTGGAATCATCGAGCCTAAACCATTCTTGGGAAAATTGCAATAAAAAACGTCGACACGTTGAACGCTGTAAAGTTGAGGTGTTTGACTGTTTTTTTACACTACTTTTTTTATGCAAAGAGCTTTCAATTGAAATCAATTAATATTGGGAATTTGAAATTTAAAAATTTGTATCTTGCTATTTATTGTTATTATAACACCTAAGGGGGGATATTTTGTGATTTGATGTTGACAATATTGACAAGAGACAGGGCAAGTTTGCGTTTTTGCCGGATTTATTTAAATGGGCGGGGTTTTCGACATAAAAAGTTTTTTTAAATTAATTAATTAAAATTTAATGGATTTATATCAGTGATTTTTAAGGGAATATTTTTGAGAACAACTTGCAATCAATTGCAAATGTTTCTGCCTTTTCCACTCAGTAAAACACCGGGTAAGAAGCGAAATTGCAGCCAACTTCAAATAAATTGGAAAACTATCTCTGCAAAACTTGCGATGCGGCAACGTACGCGCCAAATGAGAACTTTGACGCACGTCCGGCGCCTGACAATGCACGAAACGTTGATGTTGGTGTTGATCTGTGTTTGGTAAAATGGCCGAGAACGACATAGATTTATATGGTGACGATATTGACCAGGATTTCGCCCAAGTAAGTGCATTTAAGTGGCATGTGAACCCTACCAACTTCCATCTAATATTGGCCTATAAATCGGGTAGTTTGAGCTGTTTGGAGGCACTTTGTTTGCCCGGTCTTTGGCGTTCCCACGCCATTAACCACCTTCCATATATTGATTTTACGATTTCGGCCCTTAGGACGAATATAGCGGTGAAAACGTTGACTTATACGACGATGTCATTGCCACCGGAGCGACCAACAATGCGGAAAACTCGGACGGAAAGTTTGAGGGGCCTGAAGGCACGAATGGGACTTCGGTACCTACAGTGGCTCACACTACATCTGGCCGAAGATTGCAGCTGTACGTAGGAAATCTCACATGGGTAAGAAAGTTTTTTTGTCGTAGTATTATTTATTTTTATTTATTATTCCATTCTTATTCATCCTTATCTGTGGGATATACAACGTATTTATAACAAACCGAATGCAAACTCTCCTAGGGGTATGGAAATGGAATGTACATTCCAAATTAGTCTATTTTTCTAATATTGTACTAGAATTATACTTTATTTTTTTGCATTTCAGTGGACTACAGACCAAGACATTGCAAATGCGGTGCATAGCATCGGCATTAATGATTTTCATGAGGTAAAGTTCTTTGAACATCGACATAATGGCCAGAGCAAGGGATTTTGCGTTATTTCTCTGGGTTCGGACAGTAGTATGAGGAAATGTCTGGAACTGATGCCCAAAAAGGAGCTGAATGGTCAAAGTCCTCATGTTACACTTACAACGAAACAGGTAGGAAAGTCGTAATTAATTACTATTCTTAAATGAACTGTTTCCTGAGAAATTGTCATTTCTTTCCAAGTTTTAGTCCCAGTTCCAACCGAAGTGTTTGTATGTTTTTTCTTAGGCATTGTCGATTTTCGAGAGTCAATCGAAAACGCGCCCCACTCCGGCCAACAACTCGAATTCAAGGCCTTCACATCCCAGTGGAGGCAATCAGGGTTCGATGCAAAATTTCGGAAACCGAATGCCGATGAATCAGGGACCGATGCGCGGGCCCCCCATGGGTCCCCCTGGAATGCAAGGTAATGCCCGATTTGGTAAGAATATTTCCTTATTACAAACATACTGAATGCATTTTTTTTAGCGAGAAATTTTTTTCTGGGATTTTGCAAGCCACCAAATAATCGTGGTTTTTACTGAATGTGATATGCACTTTCAGGTGGTCCAAGAATGCAAGGACCGCCCGGTTTTAACGGCCCGCCCAACATGCAGCAACAGCCTCCGAGGTTTCAAGGACAGCCACAATGGAACGGCCCTCCGAGACCGAACGGGCCGCCCGGCCCCCCTAATATGGGGCCGATGCGTACGGGACCAGGCGGTCCGCCGCCTGGACCGCAAGGCCCCCCTAGACCTGGCCCGCCTATGGTAAGCTTTCCCGCTTATTGCCCAATAGTTTAATATTCATTCTATGATCAGTTTCAAGGACCCCCACAAGGACAGCCGCCCCGAATGCCTCAACAAGGACCGCCGCCAGGACCTCCGGGAATGCGACCCGATTGGAACAGGCCCCCGATGCAGCAAGGTTTCCCTCAAGGGCCACCACCAATGCAAGGCCCCCCGAGAGGGCCTCCGCCTATGCAGGGGCCTCCAGGTGTAGGCGGGCCGCCTCAAGGCCTCCCTCAAGGACCTGCCCCGCACGTAAATCCAGCATTCTTTCCTCCTACCGGAGGCCCTCCTCCCATGCAAATGGGCCCTGGACCTGGACCAGGTTAGTTTATCCCTTGTTTGCTCATGGGATATTAATTAATAATTAATCAAACTTTGATTGCAGTTATGCAGCAAGGACCGCCACATGGACCGCCGCACGGTCCGTCGATGGGCCCTCAACAACCGCCCCAACATGGTCCGCCCCACGGATACGGACCGCCCAATAACATGTCGCAGCAGCCGTATGGGGGACCGCCGCCCGAACATCGGCCGGATATTCCACCAATAAGCGAGCAGGTAGATTCGATTCAGATGTGCAGATTTTAAAAATACTTGTTAATATCAGCATTTCTTTCAGGAGTTTGAGGATATAATGTCGAGAAATCGTACTGTGTCTTCATCAGCCATTGCTAGAGCTGTGTCTGATGCTGCTGCTGGTGAATATGCCAGTGCTATCGAAACTCTGGTAACAGCCATATCCTTGATCAAGCAGTCGAAAGTAGCGAACGACGATCGTTGTAAGATTTTGATCAGTTCATTGCAAGATACTCTGCGAGGCGTGGAGGATAAAAGCTACAGTTCGTCGAGGCGTGATCGGTCCAGATCGCGGGACAGAGCGCACCGCAGAGGAAGGCGTGAGCGCTCCTCCTCACGGTAACGTAGAGAGCGTTCCATTTCTGCTTTGGACCAATTGTTTTCTTGATGGTAGATATCGTGAACGCAGCAGGGACCGAGAACGCGACAGGGATCGCGAAAGGGAGCGCGATAGAGACCGATACTACTCCGACAACTACAGGGAGCGCGACCGGGAGCGGGAACGTTCTCGAAGTCGCGGCGAAAGAGTGGAACGCGAAAGAGAGTACCGAGAGCGGGAACCCGAAGAGTAAGTGCTAGTTTTCCTTATTTTTACCGTTGAGAATTTTGTCACCTTTTTTAAAACCGGCAAAGGCAATAAGGGTAGCGAATTAAAGTACCTGATGTAAACCCTTGCTTGTGACTGCCTCAAATACCATGTGATGAATTGTCGAAGGGAAAAAGTATCCAATCACCGTCCTCCTTTCAAAAGGATCAATAAGTGATTACCACGGTTTCTTCATAAAAAATCTGCGCTATTGACTGAACTTGACTTTTTTCACCTTAAAATGGATGGAATGTGCACCTTATCCGATGATTCAACATCTGTTATGAACTTGCCTAGACTAAATCTTTATAGCATGAAGCGATATTTATGTATAAGTGATTTTAAACAGTCGCGCTTGTATCCGATAAGTGAGAAGAAGAATTTCAATTTTATCTAGGCCAAGAGTGTCGCGACCACGAAATAAATCGCCGGTGGAAGCTGCTGAGCCAGCTGGAGATGCACCTCCATCAAAATCCCGATACTACGAGGAGCGTTCATATCGAGAGAGAGAGAGGGAGCGAGAACGTGGAGAACGGGAATCAGGACGTAGTCGCGACACCGAGAGGGAAAGGGATAGGGATCGAGAACGGCGAGAAGAGTCCCATCGTTCTAGACATTGAAAAATCGCGCAAATTTGGAGAAAATGGCACGTGGGTGGTTGCTTCTTGGTCAAGTTTCTTTTTCATTTTTCGCCACTTCTCCAATTACATTCGTTATATTTAACCTTTCAAAGTATATCGACTAGAGTACCAGACATTTTTATTTTGTTGAGTATCAAGCATTCATGATACCGCATTATTTTTTAATCCATCACAGTCAATCATTTCAATCGCTTGTCTTTAAGTGAAAAAGGTACATTAATGACGTGGGACACCAAGTTATATTCGTATTACCGACGCTTGGATGAGTTACCCCAGATGCAAAGAGGATGGCCAGCAGCCGAAAAGAAGAATGTATGACTTGGATTAAAAGATATATTTGGAAAATACAGTTCTTGTGTGTTTATATTTAAACCACCTTTCTCCTATAATGTAGCTGTACCTTTATATAATCCTTGCCCTTTTTTAACTAGAAATAGGTTGTTCTTCAAACAAACGCGCTATTTAGCTAGTTTTTTTTCTGTTTCGTTTCAATGTTACTGGTCAGTTCGTAGTCAAAATAAGTATGTTTTCGGAATTCGATATTTTGTTCCAAATTTATTGATTTGTATTCATAATAATAATCGTTTGAGAAAGGAAATATGTTGATCAGCTTTATTGGCGATCCCCTTGTTGTCTAGTCAATGTACAGATTAGTGTTTTTATTTTATTGAAATTTTCCAAATCGTTTCAGGGTTAACGAATATTCGTACGTTGAAACACTTGGATGGATTTTCCTAATAATTACTGTTTCAGTTACAAAGTGTAGTACATAATATGTCACGTAGAACATTAGCAAAATCCATGCATCTACCTTCGTTTTACTTTTTTTCCACTTTCAGCTGAAACGTTAATTTTAAACATTCTTGAACAAATTGAATGAAAGTGGCGGGATTTTGTTCATTTATTGATACATACGTTTTCATTGTCGGTTTTAAGAAAAAAGTTATTTTTTCGAAGTCTTCTGTTTCATTCAAATTAGCATTTTAGGTTTTACACTGAAAGCTAGTTTTTCGTTGTTAATAAAAGAAGTCTGTTATGCGGATAGAAGTTAAGTAGACATACTGGTATACAAGGCGAATTGCAATAATGAAAAGGATTTGAAGCATTTTACATAATTGCGATTAATTTGAGTAAAAATTTCACCCAGTTCGTCCTTTGGTCGATTGGTTCAAAAATTGATTATTTCTTAGCTCTGATTGTGTTGTACATTCTTAAAATAATGGTTAATTTCCTAAGATTTTCTCTAAATTGGTATAACGTTAACCAACAAGGGATCCGATTAAATTTTATGAAATTTTATTTTTTCCAGTAGCTGAGCCTACAGAATTAATTCTTGGGTGTCCTTCCTGAATTGTTTCCAATTAAAAGTTTCCACAAATTGAAAATATTTTTATTTTAATTTGAAACAATAAACAGGAAGTTACCGATGTGTTATCTAACTGGAGCACATTACAAATGATTATACATTATAATTTAATTCAACATTAACTGTGATATTTTTCTTAATTTGTTCTAACGCAGTTTACCCGTAGAAACTAATGTATTTTGAGTAAATATAACTGTAAAAAGATTAACTTCTGATATCCATAGTATTAAATGTATTATAAGCATGTTGCGTCATTTTAAGGTAAGTAATCACACACGTTATGTATTAGTAGTAACCTTTGTAGTGATTTAGCAATGTATCCCGAAGTGTTTTTTACTCTTTTAAAACCTTTCATGATCACATGAAGGAATTCTGAATAATTCCAACAATGTATTGCATGTTTCATGTAATTTCATATATGTATACGGTGATTGGTTCTGTAGCTCTGTTTTGGAGTGTTCCAACAAATGTCCATTATTAGTAGATGAAAATTGTTCAGAACTGGCCTACAGAAGAAAAACACCTTGTACAATTAATAACTAAAATACTGGCTGTGATAATACAAACAAATTACTGGCTGTGATTAATCAACTGAAACTGAGCTGTGATAGTCAAAATATATTTTAAATTTGTCTTTTGGCTAATGCCGGAGGACAGGAAATAAAAAACCTTTATCAAGTACGGTTGTTTTACTCGTTTAAAACAAACACGAGAATTGTAAAAGAACTTATAAATCTTCCGTATCCGATCCGGAATCGGCCTCCATGGCTTGCTTCGCAGCATTTTCCGCCTCTAGAAAAACGTTTTCGGGCACTCTCTCGTGCAGTCCGTTACTGTCCTTGCAAACCCACGACAATTCCAGCTCAAAGTTCTTGTCTTTAAGCTCATCGTGAACAATGTAGATTCTAAAATGTTCCAAGATCAATCAAAACAATCCATTGGGGTTGAAAAACGTACATTTTAGCGGCTTCTTTGGCCAACTCCCGGCAAGTAAGTCGTCCTAGTTTAAGCTTTTCAATCTCGGTTTTTGCTGATTGTTTGGCCTTGCCAGTGGCGCAACCGTGATTACCCTGGGGGAAAAGCGTTTAAATATTTTTAAATTTAGGCGACAACTTCACCTACGTAGCTGATCCCTGAGGGGTCGATTGTATACATGACAGGCTCATCATTTTCGTAACTGATCAAAATTACGCTGCACCCGTAGGGCCTAATGGCGCTGTACAAAGTATAGGCGTGCATATACATGCTAACACGGTCGTTTAAGTATTTCAAGGGAATACTGGTTCCGAACTGCTGTCTGTATTCCGCCGCTTCCTTTCGGGCGATTTGCACTATTTGGCGGGCGTCGGCGATTAACCCTGAAAAACCCTATAAACAAGAGCAGTTGCTTTGAGGGCTTTAAGAGCGCGCTAAGTTCAAGCTAACCATGCCTATGTGTTTGTCTATGTTGAAAAGCCGCTGATTGGTGGTTCTCTCGTGCAGTTTGGAGAGGATCAGCTTCTCAGCTGCCAGCACTATTCCATCTGAGCCTTTAAGCCCTATCACAGTTCCACTGTTTTCCACTGCTTTCATCGCGTACTCCACTTGGAACACCCTGCCATCGGGCGAGAATTGGGAGGCCGATAAATCGTACTGGAGTAATGAATATTTAGCATCTAATTTAGCTTAGTTTGGACGGTTTTGCTTACCCCTGTGCCGATAGAACTCATTTTTGCTTTTTCAAATTAGCAAATTCTCGATGACAATGCTATTTGGGTTAAAAAATGACTGTTTATAATCGGTTTTAGGTTATGAGCAGGGTGGCCAACTTTTCAAATGCGTATTACCGTACACAACACTACACATGTACATGTACGGTAATTACCGTGCGATAGGCCACCCTGGTTATGAGCCTCTATATTCTGCTATACAAGTTTGCCATACTGAGCATTCTTGGTGTTTTAGTTTCGCTGTGGTTTGTGGCATTGGACGAGCTCCAAGTTTTCATTGTCAAGTCTGTGCATTGTCAATAGATGAATGTAAATAAAAATGATAGTGTTCCAAATCTTGGATAATCTGGACGCCTAAATTAGCGAGATTTTTAATAGAAAACAATAACAAGCTCTAAAATAGTGATTTGTCATTATATTTAGACTTGAAATCTTTGAGAGAAATAGTGGCATCCCAAGCCAAGACGTGTGAGAAAAATGGCTGATGGTCAAGGGAACATAAATAGACGAAATACAGGCACAGTTCCAAAAATTAAATACTCCAATAAAGCGGCTGCTATGCGCTCGTCAAAGGACCAACCAAAAAGCGGTCGAATGTCCAACAACCTCGTAAGGAGCATGTTTTTTCCTAATGTTTTATGCTACTGTAGAATGCTGCAGCATGCCAACATTGTAGGATGGTGTTCTATTAATAAGTTTTGTATAAAAATAGCCCCCGATTGAGTTTTTAAGTAGAGCACGACGTTCTTTTCAGTCTCCCTCGTGGCACATGAATGGTGACTCTGCGAATTTCATTGGCAACAAGGGAAGGATTCAAAGAAGCCACTACTCCAGCATGGAAGTTGCTTTGGATGGCTCAGAAGTGTCCAATGGGATTGCGAATTATCCATGTAAGCGGTTTGATTTGAGACTCAATTTCCATCAATTTTCATCGCTTTTCAGTGAATGGCATCACGCCAGCAAGCAGTTCCTCAACTTCAAGAAGAAACTCAATTGGTTCGACCCTAAAATGCGACAATGTCACAAAATACCCAGACAGGCGGCAGATTGAAGACAAACTGCACCAAATCAGGGAGTATCTTGAAGTGACCAGCTCCTTAATGACCAACATCAGGAACTCAGACGAGCAGGTAACTAGTGCTGAAATCACCAGCGTTTCAGCTAAAAAAATCCGCACAAATTTGGCGTTTAACAGATTTTTGATATTGATGAGAAAACAAATTTGCTGCAAACCAGAGACGATCTGCTGGACAGTGAAAAAAAATTGTCTAAGCTTCTGGAAGAAATTGATAACAGTGAAATGGCAGAAAGCGTGGTTGACCAGGTGATTTGGGCGTTATGAGTAGAACTACTAGTACTAACGTGTGTACACTAATCCAGTTGCTTTAGCTCAACTAGCTCTTAGTGTATTGGCTCTGAGACCCTCCTGAAAAACCCTCATGTGCAGTGTTAGCTGAAACATGTTCACGCTTGCAAAAAGTACTCTACAAAAGTTTGTGTCTGTTCTAGAGCCTCAGCAATGCGGACAACTACTCAGAACACAGCGGCGACTATATCAAGCGTGTTGAATCTGACTTTGAGAGCTTCGACAATGAGCTGACTGCGATGAGGGACCAGCAGCAATCCCTGCTGAATCTGAAGCAAAAGTCCGAAAACCGACTTATGGACGCCCGACTGATTCAGGACAAATTGGCGGCTGCTGGTCACTGTGAGTTCCAGGGGTTATTTCAAGGATTTTTATACAATCAAACCTGTTGATTAGCAGCCAGCAATCAAGTGAATCTGGATACGCAGAAGTGCAACAAGAACCTGAGCCTTGCCGAGTTTGACACCGCAATTCGCGATTTGGAGGAGAGGACCAAGAGGCTCAACCGCAATCGCCCGGAAAATGAAAAAATCACGGCCGACAAAATCGTGTCCGAAATGCAGCATTTGCAGAGTCAGATCATCAGCATGCATGATGCCAACAACGAGAGGGAGCAGCTGATTCAAGTAAAACATTGCTTTTTACCGGGGCCTTTTCATTTGCGATTTATAAATGTAATAAATACGAGCTTTATACTTTGCTTTTGTCCCTTTTTAGGTGTTAGATAATCGAGACACTGAGCTTCGATCGCAACAAGCGCAGTTAAAGAAGAAACTGATCGAGCTTCAAACGAAGAAGGAACAGGTTGATGAGCTGGTCATGCAGCTTCAAATCCTGGACGAAGACAATCAAAGCGACGTTGGTAGGAACATCAAGTTTCATCCCTATTTTACCACTGAATCCACCCCCTATTTAGGTATGCAAGTACGCAATATCGTGACAATGAAGGACCAGCTGACTAAGCTGAAAGACATGATGGGAGTGGTGAATAACATGAGCGAAAGTGCTTCGGCTGCTGATGTACAGGCAGCCACTAACGAGATTTGTCTTACGGCGGAAAATCTGCAAAATCAATTAGCTAAGCCCAGTCATAAAAGGAACGACAGCTACGTGGAAAATAGGTGCGAAAATGTATACGCTACGTACTTTTGCTGTGGTTTTTCAAAATCCGCGTTAGTTTAGTAATTTTTCATTTTGCGTAAAATCTAGAAACATTTCTAAAATTATGTATTGCGCAGTGGCAACTAAAGCTTTACAGCTCTATTGGTTCTCTAAATATGAGCCAAATACTAAAAACGGTTATCAAAACCCGCGTTTATTCAGGAGGGGATCCAGCTTTCGAGTCAGGGGGGGTTCAAGTCGTAGAAATTCAGACTTTTGTTGTATATGAAATTAGAAAAATAAGCGTTAGTCGCTGTAAACCCAGCACAAGGGGGGGTCGTGACAAGTAATTGATATTAAATATAATTGAAAGAATTTTTTCGCGTCTTAGGAGGACAAATAATTTTTCTTATTCCAAAAATTATTTGTCCTCTTAAGGATTCCCATTCAGTTAGAATTTTCGGACACTTAAAAGCTCTTCATTATAAAATATAATGTTTTACATAAAAGAGTGTGCAATTTAGGGCCAGTGACAAATGTAGCTTTACATCTCAACTGTAACAGGAGCGACAAAAATTTTAAGAAATTCTACGGACAAATTCACGAACGTAATTTTCGTAGATTGGACAATCACGTTGCAAACGAGACGTTTCAAAAGCAGCTGAATAAATCCCAGAGGAACCAGGGAGCGAAGCCCAAGCAAAGAACAGCCAGCATCAATGAAAAGATTGCCTTGCAATCAGAGCTGGAGGCCAAAAAGCGTGAATTGGAGGAAATCATGGGCAAACATAAAGGTGCCGTTCATTCCTCATAAAATGTTCTTATGAGAAGAACGTTTTCAATTTCAGCATCCACTTCGAACCTCAATCACGACGTCCGAGGCAATCCTGTTAACGATATGTCTTGGAAGCCGCCCATTTTCTGCCAAGACGAGACGAGCGAGGACAGACTCTCAAGGTGGTAAGCACAAAATTCTTATAAACTTGCTTACATTTGCATGTTCACTTTTTCAGTGACGGAGACGAAAACGAGTATTCCGAAGTGCACGACGACGAAAACATAATTTTCCCACAGCAAGTGAACTCTTACTATCGCTCAAATCGAGCAAAACGCACCCCAGAAAATCGCTCAATGTACGATTTTCCACCCGAAACCTTGCAGAGTGTTTCGCAAGCTTCCGGCCGTAATGTCCGAAGCCAGTCGGTTAATCCGCCGGAATTTGATAGACAACAAGCCCGGTTGCCTTCAAACAATCAGAATCAGGAGAAACCAGATAAAGTACGTTGTAATTGCTGATTGTTACTACTAATATGTCCACTTTCCCATCCAAAAATAAGCATTTTAGTTGGGTTTCATCCAATGTGATATGAGCATGTTGTTATTGCAGATTCAGAAGCATCTGGAGCTGATCAAAAGCGTCTGCGACACCGTTCTGGAACAAATGCCCAACAATCAGGCGTCCAATATACAACAAGTGCGGAACAACATCACGCCTTCGTCGATTTACGCGGAGGGACAGCGGGTTCCGTGCCCACCGAGCCCCTTTCGAGCCAATCAGAATCAGGTTAACGTTTTCCAGGCGGAGCCTCCGCTGTTTCAAGCGTCTGCTAACAACCAAACCGACAATGGGAGTTACCAGAACTGGTTGGCAACCAATACGTTGCAAACGCAGTCTTTTATGCTCACCACTTTGAATCAGTGCTGCCAAATGCTGTGGGCGCAGCAAAGAGAAATTGCCCAACTCCGAAACAATGTTAACATGGTACGCTTTCACCCAACTAGATTAGGTCATGGCTAATTTTTCTCCGAAATTTTCAGCTCCAAGAAAGAATGGACTTGCCGTCGTACCCCCAGCCAGGAGACTTGCCCCCCAACCTTCACACTCAGTCCTTTAACGCGCCCGCTCAGAACCATCTCCCAAGTAACCATCTGCGTGTTTCGACCGCTCAGAAGACTAACCAAGTGTCCGCTGCTTGCTCAATGCCTAACTTAAACCAATATAATCCGGTGTCTTCGAACAGCGACATGGCTTTCTCTAACTCGAGCAACGTGCCTAATTGCGCCCTGTTAGAGTCGTGTTTGAATAACGCAAGCCAGCATAATCTGATGCATGCGGCCAATTCTAACTTAAACCAGGCGATACCTGCCCAGATCTGGAACGGACAGGCCTTGAACAATCAAGTGGCGCCTGGTAATCGAGCTAACAATTATTGGGACAATTTTCGAAGGTAACAACGCCCAGCACGTTTTTTTTTTGTTTTTATTATTTCCTTTTAATTACTGTGTGAGTTATTTTATTCCCATCATTTATATCCTATCTATAAAACATCCTTTAGACTCCTAGAAACTAGAAAGTTCTGTTGTCTTGCTGGGTAAGTTCCATAGCAGATGGCTTCCGTTAGTTGCTTTGCTTTGAATTGCCAAAACTGTTTAGGTTTAGATCACTGAAGGCCAATTAACCGGTTTTTAGCTATTCGCGTCAAAATCAGCTATCATCGAAAAACAGCGAAAGCAGCGTTCACAACGCAGCCTCCAGTCTGGATCGGTTTCAGCTGGATCGAATCAACCCATTTTCTATAATGACCACTTCCAAAAGCAATTCCGAACACTCTTCGACCAATTCACAGGAAACCACTCCTCGTAAACGAAGCTCATTTAATGGTAAGTCCATCAGTGAACTTGTTAAATAAGGTAGTCGGTTTGTGCTGGCAGGATTACATTCGAAAAGGGTTAAAACTTTTCCCTATTTATTAGAGAAGCGGTTTCCAAGAATTATGTGCATCCTTTTTGTTCCTTGCATTGCAAGTTTTTAAATTGTCACCCTCTATATAGCGAAACTCTTTGATTTTGATGCACACACCCATAGTTTCTTCAGATTGTAAGCGCCACTATTTAGCAACCGGCTCTCGTAAAGGGGCAAAGCGCAATAAGGACGGCAGATTTTGATATGTGTCTCTCACTCTTCACTGTGGCACCAGTCCTATGGAAATTGCCATATTGAGCTACGGGGTGCATTCAATATGAGTTCGAGTTTTCCAACATTGATTCAATTTGCTAATTGCTTCTTACAGTGCCCAGTCAGCGAATGCAGCAAACGAAAGTCGACCATCATGGTCCGCCCCCCGATGTGCTCAACGTGAATCAAAACCTGCCCAAAGCAGGCTTTGATCAAGTCGAGCAATACATTTCACAGCCTGAGGGCAACTTTATGTTAGATGGGCTGAAGATCGATCTGGGCAGAGCCCTAGATATCCCCGCCCAGGAAAGAGTAAATATTTCCCGGGAGCCTTTGCAGGGGCGGCAGCGCAACGAGTGGCACACTGAAGAGCGCAGAGATCAGCGACTGAAAAAGTATTTTTGAATAGCACCCAAACGTGCAATTTGCTGAGGAATTGGTTGTTTTAGGAACCGGTTGGTCGATGAGTTAAGAGAAAGCGTGTATAAGGAAGTGGCCTCATTGATATCCGCCAACGAAGCCCGACCCCATTTCCTGATCCAGCTATTTAAAGATCTGCAGAAGATCGAATCCGATTCGTTGCGGCTGAAGATTTTGCAATCAATTCAAAGCATTTTGACCCAGTCGTTTCAGTGCCCGCCAAATCCCAGCTCAAGACCGGTGAGTTGTGCGTCAAATCGCTTAATCTAGAGCTGGTTGATTTACTTTGGGGTTTTAGATGGCAGCATCTGAATCAGTGCTATCGGAATCTTCTGAGCAGGCTTCCATTTGGTCCAAACCCACCAAGCAGCTGTCATCAGGGCTTTTAAACTTGCATTTGGTATGTTTTCCTTTAGATTTTAATAGCGTGGGACTCAATTCAAAAAAACTCACAAAGTTTCATGAATTTCTTGAGTTGCTCGAGTTTTGTCCAAATAGGGCATGAGTTTCAAATATGTTCCAGGAAGGAGACGAGCCATTTTTGCAAAACTCATACAAAGACATCGTGTCCCTTTTGGATGGATGTGAAGACGATGTGATAGGAAATCGGCTTCTGGCTGACATCAAGCAGGTGTTTTTGGAAAGTGATCTTTTCAGGGATTCGGTCAAGGACACGGTGTTTTTAAAACACTTTTCCAACGTTCTTAACGATTCTCTGGAGCAATATCGGGGGAAAAAGTAAGCAACCCATTCAGGGAAAGTGAGATAAACAACAGGAAACATTCGATTGCAGAGTGCACGAGATGAAGGTGCATTTGATTCAAACCATCGGCGATTTGCTGCAGGGCGAACTGTCCTTTATTCATCTCATCCAGGAGACGATTCCGGAAAGTTGCCTGGGACCGGAGAGGAAAGACTCGGCGCAATCGGCGCCTTCTTATAGTGCGGCCAGCACGTTATTTGATCTGTCCAATCAAGGTAAATTGTAGCCATTAGTGGCCTTAGTTTGAACGACCTGAAGTTGTGCTGTTCGTTTTCAGGATCATTGCAAAACGACAACATCCAGAACGGGGACTTGGCAGAAGCCGATCAAAGCAGGCTTGGAGAAAGTGAGCTTGAAGACGAAGGAGCTGTGGGAGGAATTATCGAGTCTCCTGAGGAAGTGCTACAGGTAGTGAAGGCGCTTTTCAAGTTGTCGCTGAATTTGATCAAAAGAGGAAAAATCAGCCAATTTTTTGTGCATTTCAGGTCGCAGGAAAATGAACTTTTATACATTTTAGTTGGCACTTCAGGTGCGACAGCTCCTTATTTTTCACTAGCGCAGTTTAAAAGAACACAGTTTTTTACGCAAAAAACTACTTTTAGTGCAAAGCTCTAATCACAACCTTCTATGTTTCTCTTACAATTTTTCCAGGATCAACCAGAAGAACTGATACACGTACCCACTATAGATTTTCCTGTTAACGGAGAAGGTCTGGATCAAGTACCAACAAGGCTTCCCACTAAAGTAAAATCTGAATCAACTACTCCCACTAAAGGTAAGGTTTAAGTTATTTTCATTACAAAAAATCAGTTTCAAAGGCCCCATTCTAGATCTTCTTTGTTCGAATCGCGAAGAGCCCTACTGAAAGCAATTCAATCTAATGAGTTTTCTAAGCGAATTGTGTGCATTTCCAGGTGGAAGGCTGTGTGAAGTTGAATATTTGGACGATAATTAACTGTTTTTTTTTGTAATCTTTGCCCGACTCAAATTTTTATCTAACTGTTCTATAGGATGTCTTTATTCGCCGTTTATAAACATATTGAAATGTAATCGATTTAAGGACAATGTAGAAATAATCCAAATAATACATATGTTGAATGAACCAATAAAAATACTTACCTAATTCGCCTTTTACATAGCAGTTAATTCATAATAGTCACCTGGATTCTGATTTTCACTAGCTTTACATTGATGGTGACTGGGAAAAGATGTGCTCAAATTCCTCTGTCGGAACTTGGAAAAATCCCAACATTTCCCGAATTTTGTTCGGAAAATTGTTGATTTTCTCAAAAAGGAATTTTCTGGTAACAGTTTTCGCGTGTTTTCCCGACCGGTAATGGGATTTTTGTGAAAAAACGCGATTTTCCACAAATCGACTGACGTTTAAACGCCCGGACTGATATATAGATGAAGACAAGTACTGACAATAACAGTGGAGTTTTTGCAAGTGAATAACATTCGGGAATTTTCTTCAAAGGGTTGATGACCTTGAGAAGAATAATGGAATATCTGGATGCCTCAGTGGTAGGAACGATTTTTTCATACTTTAAACCCTCGAAACCTGGGCCTTAGCCGTTTTCCTCTGTATGGTCCATGCATGTCACGCATTTATGGCTAAACAATCTCTCAAAAAACTATTTCACTCCCTATACAGTCGAGGAACGTTTCAAACAATCAACTCCTTACCATTTAGTGCACTGCAAAATTCACACATATTTGATATATGTATTAAGATCCCAAAAAACATTGGAGTAAAACCATAAATCCTCGTGGCTCACACTCGAAGAAATTAGGCCACTGTAGAGAAACTAGTTTAAGTTTATTTCAGTTCTAGAACATATAAAAACACGAATACACTTATCAAACTAAATTAGTAATTAGTAGCAATTCGATATTGAGTCACAAAATAGCTACAAACTGGCAACCCAATGGTAGTAACTGCAACCATGTGTTTCCCTTAAAAGATCCTCTTCCAAATACCGTTTCGTTGGTGATGACTTTAGACAAGGTGAAGACTCTACAGGTGGCATTGGCGGTTCTAAAAATATAGTGCATGAATGTAAAAAATAACTGCTTAATCACAGAGCGGATTTATTAAATTAAACTTAATGAGGTCATTGCTATATTTAGGCTGATTTGTTTGCGATCAATCCAGATTTAGAAGACTCGTTGCATTTATCCCAAATGGGGTGTTAGGTGGTGGCAAAGTACAATGAGTTGCAGGTTGGTTGTTGTTGATTCTTACCATAATGGCACTTTCTCTTCCATGTGGTAGTTATTTCTGAATCAGTGGCTAGTTTCCTTTTAACCCCGCGGCATGGTTCGAGGCACGTTTTATCCGAATCGTCAATGTGCATGGGCTCTGGCACGTTTTCACCCCTTACCGGCTGATAGCCATAGTAACCATTCGAAGAAATGCAAAAAAATAGTTGCTGTTCATTGTCGGCAGCTGGGTAAAATGGTTTCTGCATCTCCCCAATTGATAGTGTATCCATTGGGGTTGGATTCAACATGTCTGCAAGCATTTCTTCACTGGAACAACAAAATACACCAACAGGATATTTATATTCTACCCAAACCAACGCTCACTTTTTCTAGGTTAGCTTTTTAAAAGTACCTTCTTTCATTGTCAAAAGTGACGGCTACGGATCTTTACGCACAGAACAGCTTTAAGCTAGCAAGGAAGGTAAAGAGAGACAAAGACACAAATGTCGCAAACAATATTTTATTTTTATCTAAAAAAAAACGAGGAATGCAAAAAGTTCATTGAACAACTCGTTAGACTTTTTGATTCGATAATTTTAAGCTGAACTGCTCGAATAACAAGCGATATTTTTATTAATGAAAAAGGTTTCAGGTAGGAGAATTTGTAGATTAAAGAAAAAACTAGGTGGTTTTTTGAAATTAATCAAATATATTAAGTTACAGGCAGAATTCCTGACATACATCATTATCGACAACATGAAATAACTTATCTTAAACAGCGATTGCTAACCATTTAGTATGTTTGCGTCTTTAAATTTATCGTCAAATCACTACACCTTAAGCTAAAGATAGATAAGAGCAAATATTGGAGATATATACAGTTATAGACACCGCCTGAATAATATTGCTATATTACAAAATACGGCTATGATATAATACAAAAATAAATTTTTTAAAAGAATACTGAAGCCAGCCAAAATACGTGAACAACAAATCAATGAAAACAGAGGCATTTAGTAATAAAAACTCATTTTTTGCCATTATTTTACGCAACAACTCTGGTTTTTTGCTTTATTAACTTCAATACAGCGCTACGCTCTAATCAAAAAATATCTATGTAAAAGCATTAATACACAACAATAATTAACAAACCATGGGGAATTAATAAAGTTTATGGCCTTTTGATTGGGCCGTTTGCGGATATTGCACTGTATTAGCTAAAAATAGTTTTTTTTTCAGTTCTGCGAGTAGATATGAGCGCCTCAAAATCAACACATTCAAAGCTTATGTACAAGGTACATTTTAGTATCATGTAGAGTAGATTATGTACATTATAGGGGGTTATTTCATTAAATCAGTAGCTTTTAGACTTATGGATTGGCTAAAAATATATCCTTTCAACTGTATTTACTCGTTCAGTAGCTCATATCTGAAAATATATGTTAAAGCTGCAGTTTCGAGGGAATCAATCAGAGCCCTTCTCAAAAAACAATTTGATACATTTCGTTAGTATTGGATAACTAATTTCGCTTTCAAGTCAGTGATGTTTGAAAAATGGCAATTTCGATACTCTCAATGGCCCAGTAGTTAAGAATTATATTACCATGACATGGACGAATAATAGGATTTTTCACTTTTGAAATCCGATCTAGAAAGACCACATTGTTCTTCGCTTGTTTAACATCTTTGGCTAATTGTGTCATGGTTATTTTACAACATTTAAGTAACTTTCGAGATATGGAGAAATTCATAAACAATGTCTGAAATAAACAACATTTCTTTCTAACTTTAAACAATAATTATAGGTATAGTTACAATTATTTCTCTTCATATACATTAAAACAGCAAGTGCTAGAGACTGCGTAGCAAATTCAGCGATCAGTTTTAACAGTCTGGCACATGAGTATCATATTTTACACTGATGGGTATATCACAAATTCAATAATGAAACGAAGTTTCACACAAATAAAACCATTCATTCCGAAACATTCGCACCGTCGCACATACATTTACGTTACTACATCTCACCTATACAAAACTTCTTTTTTTTTAAATAAAACAGGTAAGTATTGAATTATTATTATACGTGGGGGGTGCATTAATTACAAAATGGAACAAGAAGTCGAGCAGCAGCTTCCGTTCCCTCCTTTACTTTTTTGTCGTTGATCTGTAAAAAAATAAAACGTTCGCAATCTCAATAACACAAGTATTAAACGGATTACAGGCATTAATGTTCAAGTTCCTACAGTAATAATTGCCGATTCGTTGATTTTCAACAAATTATTCACTAGTTCTAGACATCTAGACTCAAAAGAAATTAAGTCGAAATAGGTTTAAGTCAATGAATTCAATTTTAATGAACTTTGTATCAGGATGGATGGTCGCAGATAATACTCGCTATTTTAAAAGCGTCTTATTGATATTAATGATAGAATTCGATAAGATGATGCAAATGCGTCGCACAAGGATCAATCTGTCTGTAAGTTATCTGTTTTAAAATGCACTAGAAATTGTGAACAAACCCAATAATTGCCTGACTCATTCATGAAAAACAATCAATATTTAAGAATCGTGGTTGATTTTGAACAAATTTATCGGTCTAATGACGCATAGTGGATAACTGTAAGCGGCAAGAACAACCTTAAAACCTAAATAGTGTTCAAACAATTATTATTATTCGTGCTATTTCAAGCTTTAATTTCAGGCGATTAATGGATTTTAACAGTGGTTATTTAAATTCTCATCAAGAATAACTGAACAAAGGTCACAGAGTCACCCGACTTTCTCCTAAAAAAATGATCCTTGACGCAGTTTTTCATTTATTTACTTAGTCTATTTCAATGTAAATCTGTAATTAAGCCTCTTAGCCAGCCAAGTAAAACACTATAATTGATCGAAGTAACTACACAAATTCAGATTTAAGTTATCAAGCCATTGTTCGTTGATACAAGAGTTAAATAATGAATCGTTTTTGTGCTTGAATGGTACTTAAACATCGCACTTTTTTACCTTGTGAATTTGGTTCCGGAAGATTTTCTCTAGGCACCAAATGCATTACAGTAGTTTTACCAAACGGTAGCCCTAGCGCTCCGAGTGTCACGTTGCTATGCAGAAACCGCCCCTGATAAATAAGTCTAAGTATTTCGGCCTTTGCCACTGCTTCCTGACGCCAATCTATACAATAGGAAAATAATTTAGTTTTTTTAAATTTTCTTACTATTAAACGCTAATTTACCTTCTGGCCAGTGGTCAAAAACATGCTGTGCTATATCGCCTGCCGAATCACTAGGACTGAACAGGTACTCTTTTGTTTTTCCACTAACTAGGATTAATCTTAGGTTTATCTGAAACAATTGAAAAATTTGTTAAAAAATGCATCAGAATGTCCAGGTTGTGCCGAACAAAGAAATGGTCAATTTCATTGCGGAAGGGGAGAAAAGCCAGAAGGGTTTTATTGCATTGAAACCAGTGTCGTGCCCGAAGGGCTAGGCACAACAAATACAGTAGATCTTTTTTGCTCTTGAAACTTTATGTTGCAGAAGTTGTGCGACACTGAGTTAAAGGCAAAAACCTTCCTAACTGTGACTTAAAAGTTTGTTCTTCTTCTACTAGTGTCGTGCAGAAACAAAGAAATTGTTGAGTGATTTACGGGGAGAAAGAATTCCCTTTAACTATTTTGCGCAGAAAAAGTAACCGGTAAAACTCCCTGACCTTCCATTCATTCAGTCGATGAATCGATAGACTATTGAAAAACATACAGGGTGTTTTCTTAATGACGCAACCACATAATCCGCCTTGAACAATGGAAAGAATTAAAATATTTACGAGCTTCCTTTGTGGATAACAACAAAGCCCTATTTCAAACACAAATAGTTCGATCGCGGCTGAAATCCGGCATGTAAATTAATAAAGTATTAATTTCGATATTGTCATTGAAATGGATTAAGTATTTATGTGTGGGATAATCAGCACAACAGAGCCTTCAGCTATTCACAACGATTGAAAGCTTTTGGGTAAAACTTTAGCATATTTTATCGCGAAACAGCATTCTTGGATAATCCAAACTAACAAGTAGTTAAATTGTAAAAGTGCTATAATTATTATTGATTGTGCTGTTGGAATGGGCAAAGTAGATGGCATTGAAATAGTTAAAATCGTTTCTGATTTGATGAAATGATTTGGTAAATGTTGTAAAGGATTAAGTTTGGTGAATTCACCTTCAAATCGCGATTTCTTTAAGTCCATTACCATTTAACGAGGTAAATAATGAAACTCTTCCAGTGTGACAATAGGAGCACCATGTATAATCTAGCCCATTGCTCGGTTCTAATTTTTTTCTCAATGACGAGTAGATACGAAAAAAGTACTCGAGAGTAGGTATGGGAGAAAAACATCGATATTCGATATTTTTACGAATTATGTCCCATCCCTACTCGAGAGTCAAACAAAGCAAGCATTTTGAATCATCCAAAGCATGCAAAACATGTTGGGAGGACAAAAGGGAGTTGATCTCGACAAAAGAACCTGGTGCTGTAATTAAACACCCTGTATATTATTACAGTCAACCAAACCCAAAATTGTTTGAACTGTATTTAGATTTGTCTTGAACAGTAGATAGTTTCACCAGGGAGAGTTCTCGAATGTGAATTTGTGTTAAATTCTTGACTTTCTATAGTAGAAAAGTGCTATTTTTAAAGGCTTAGTGGGGGATTGGAGACCTCATAATAGGAGCTAATTAGATTACTTAAGACTGGTGTAGCAACTGCTAAAGAAGCAATTAAAATTGAGGTCAGGAATAATAAGTAGAACTAATGAAACCTGCCATCGCGCAAAATGAGCTGAAATACTCATTGCTACCTTGATGAAAACCACTGACTGTTACGGAGAGGACTTAGATGGGTGTTCTTGGAGACCCATCAAAAAAGGTAAAATTGACATTGTGGTAGGCAGTGAAAGTTTGAATTAGAAAAGCAAACGGTTTCCCACCAAGGAGAAAACAATAAAGACGATCCGGAGCACTTGATCGGAAGGTTGTAGACAAAAGGGTAAAAATCTAGGTCGCCTTATGTCTTCTAATCAGAGCCTCTAGCCTAGAAAGAAAAAGGGTGCGGTTGCTTCGGTGGGAGCTGCTTACCTTGTCTGCCGGAATATGCCTGTTGGACATCGTTATCTACCAATAGGGCATTAAATAGAATGTCTGTATCCGAAAGAAACCCCCGCAAAACTAATTTGATCCACTCATTTCTGCACCATGACAGCTAGTAAACTTCGATGATTCAGGGCCCAACAAAACAAACATTTTTCTATTGCGAAACCTCCAATGCACTTGGTTGGAACGATTTGTCTGAGATGCACCTATTCCGGACACATTCACCTCGTCGATCGACCACAATAAACACAATAAATATAAATATTCACGTGGAAAACAACAATGCAATTCAATGCAGACGACAGACAAAACGTTCTCTCCAATCTGCATTGGCGCTTGCGCAACAGAAATAAGTATTTCTGCTAGTTATTTTCGTTATTTAATGGTGGCAACAACAGCACCGCCAAATCCATCCCGCCGTTGCCATGGTGCACTTCTTATATGGGAAATACGGAAATAGCAACCATCTTTGCTTGGTATTGGTTTGGCCTTTGCTTAATCGAATTGTCAAAATCTTTGTTCTAGTCGAAGAACACTTTAGATTCAATAACTGGAGAACTCATACTGGGCATTAACAGCTATTAATTTAAGCGCGGATGAAATAACCATTCATCACAGAAACATTGTGACAACATTGATCGGCATCACTGTAAACATGTCTTGTTTCTGTTCTCTCTAGAGGAGTGTTCACGTTTTCGATTTTTGTCCAAGAAGTACATAATTTTCTGCTGTGGTTTGTGTGCCAATAGTCGAAAAAATGGCCGATGAACTGCAAGAGATCTATGAGAAGTACGAAATCCTGTCCGGAGCCAAAGATAAGATTTTAGAGGTTAGTTGGTTGGGCTCCCCTTGTTTAATGGCAATCTAAGTGAATTTTGTTTGTGTAATGCAGCATTCAGCCGAATACCTGGAATGCATCAACATAGCGTCGAAAGGTGGCCCCAAAGGGAAGAAGCTGGTCGCCCAGATTATTTCTCAGTTTTTCAAGCACTTTCCCGACCTACAAGACACCGCATTGAATGTGCTGTTGGACTTGTGTGAGGATGGCGATAGCGAAATTCGAATCTGCTCCATGAAAGTTCTGCCATTTCTATGCAAAGGCTCAAAAGAACACATCCAGAATATCGCCAGTGTTTTGGCGCAGCTTCTTCAACTGGACGATTTGGATTACACCGTGGCTTGCAACTCTCTGGTGCAAGTCTTCCGGGAAGATCCAGTCCTGTCAATCAACGCGATTTTTACTATTTTATATCAAGACGAAGTTCTCAGGGAAAAGCTTGTTACTTTTCTCTATAAGCGATTGGCTACCATTGAAGGCAAGAACTTGCCAGAGGTGGAAGATCTGCTAGTTACTGAAGGAAAGAAAATTATACAGGTACTGTGCTATTATTAGCTTATTAATCCTTTCAGTGTATGTGAAGTATCCCGCGGATTTCAGGATTGCACTTCCGGGGAATTTATGCTGATAATGCCGTACCTCACCCAGTCCAAACTAGGAAAAACCCTCCACGGCCAAAAGGAACTGGTTAACTTAGTGTATAACAAAATTGAAGTCGAAGGAAAATTCAATCTGCTAGAGACCCACACGCTCAGCACTGATCGGCTTGTTCTGTGTGTTGAGCTGATTCTACCGCTATTCAATGTAAGTGATTTTTCACTTGAAATCAACTAGCGCTAATATTTATTCGCTTTGCAGGCCAGTAATGAATCAACTAAGCTCCTGATCTACTACTGCACTCAAGTGCTACCCCAATGGAACAACATTCGCTCCCTTAAAGATGGGGAGCAGTTACAGTTAAGACTGTTACGGCAACTGGCCATAATGAGCACTTATTGCGTATGGAATGCAGAAAATATGACTGATGTTATCGAAAACGTTTTTAACACACTCAAGGTAAGGCCGATTGTTTAATGCTATAGATCCTTCTATTCTAATATCAGGATATCAATTAATTGAATTCTAATAAATGTGTTTGTTTTAGGAATACATGCCATTACCACCTGAAGACGTCGACATTAGCAAAGTTTCAAACTTAGATTTCACAAGTGTAGAATGCCTGTTGTACACCTTCCATAAATTGGCCAGAAAAAATCCAGAATTTTTAACAAACGACTCAGACAGACTCAAAGACTTCCGACTGAGACTCCAGTATTTTGCCAGAGGCGTGCAGGGATGTAAACGAGGCCTAGAAAACACGAAGACAAAAAAGGACGAGCTGAGTGAAGAGGACCAGAAAAAAATCCAAATTGCCCCTGCCGTTTTGGAGAACATCAACACGATTGTCAAGGACCTTTTCTATCAACCACCTTTATACAAATGCAATGTGCAGTTGTCTTTCAGGAGTGCACGCGATGGAAAGAAAGAAGTGGTAAGTAGATCTTTGTGCGAAAATTATGCAGTTGTATAACTCATCGTTTTTTTCAGACTACAGTAACCAAGCCTGGAGCACAAAAACGACACGTGCCTATCACTTTTGGCTCTGCCAATGGAACAGATCCCGGCCCGAAACAAGTGAGAAATAACAAGGCTGGCGAGGACAGGAAACTCTATCAACCACCAAGTGGAAAATTTAGTAATAACTTTGGTGAGTGGATTAAAATGCATATGTTTTTGCAAAGTTTATAAACTTGTTTTTAAATTCAGGCAGGACAAACAGTCGAGGAGGCAACTGGGGTCGAGGAGGCAGCACAAGAGGCTACAGAGGCGGCCGAGGAGGGGGGCGAAATTGGAGAAATTAGGCCCACAAGCCGCCGTCGCTTTACAGGTAGGTATTAACTACGAAAGGTCAAAATCTCTAATTATTTTTATTGTCATTACTTTCATAGACACTCAACGTAAATCTACGTTAATAAAATTTGCTTTTTTCCGATTGACTTACGCCTTGGTACTCTTGCCAATGGCGTATTAAAAACACAAAATCAAACCCTTCAATCTAATTGTATAAAGTTCGGCTATTTCAACCTGCAACTTGAAGAATTTCTGTGTTAAATAATCGGAAGTTTATGGAAATATTGGCAGTTTGGATAGGTAAAGAGACATGCGAATTAGTCGCGTTTGGTTTTTTAATGTTTTAACTGGGTTTTGTAACTTAGAGCATTTTGACCTCCCCCTTTTGACTCTGAGCAGGTGGCTTGGAGAAAACTTGAGTGACTGGATAATTTCTTTAATTTTTTTGACGCTTTCTGTTTAATACTGCAATGAAATATATTATGCGAAATAAACAGCTGTAGGTTTCACTAATTTTATTACCAGTGAGTCATTGAGGTAAGTAAATCGATGAATGCAAAATAAACTTAATTAGTAATCCAAAGCGCATATTAAAGCGACCCCATTTTTTATCCAATGTGGTTCGGGTTTTTCGCATGGAACTTCAATGGCCAGCACGTAATTGGTGGAGTGTCCAGTAGTGGACAGTGTCCCGGCTCTTGTCAGGGTTTTGTAAACTGGACACTCATAAACCCCTGGTGGCCGCAAATGGTTCTCTTCGGGCACCAGCCAGATCACAGGCATTTCTAAAACGAATATTTTAAACAGTTATTTTGATGCCATAAACAGTCCCCACCTGTGTACAGTTCCTTCGGGATAGACTCATCTAGAATTTTCATTCCCGAATTCCATCTGGCTCCTTCTAGGAACAGGCCCCAAATGCAACATCCATCCTTGGGTCGTTCTTTTGGAAAGTAATTCAACACCTACAATGTAGAGTTGATTGTCGCACTCAACGAAAGGTAAGTACTTTTGTCGATTTAATTTGCCTTAAAGGAGAAATTAATCGAGTCGATAGACACGATATATTTCCGAGCGAAATTCTGCAAAGTCCCCGTTAGAAATGCCTGCGGAAAATAGAATCCCGAAATCCAGAAAATGGGTGGAATTCCGTCTTGCACCCACTTGTTGAGAAACTCGCATCTAGCATTTAAATCTTGAACCCAAGCGCCTGAAAAAACGTTCAGGGGTAAATCCGCCGAGTATTTTAAGCATACTTGGTAAAACCTAGCGGTTTCAGTGAAGGATATGCCTTGTTTGCCCACAACTGAGGCACCAAATTCGTGTAGAGACTGAGCGACATTTTCTCCAGAGTCTCCGACATCACTACCAGTCCTTTCACAGCTTTGAGCAGGTCAAGCAACGAGGATTTTATCACAACTAGAAGCTTGTTGTAGCGAATGCCCTCTTGTATTAGAACGGTGTTCAAGGACTCTTCATACAGCACTGGATATCTGCAAGAGGCCCAAATAGAGCCAACTCAAACCGAAACACATCCACTAGCCTTTCAGATATCTGTTCCAGATTGAAGAGCATCGGAAGCTGTTCCAGGATGGTTTTTGAGACTGCAGTTGTGACCTCTTCCTGGCTGGATGCTGCTCCTCCAACGCTTTTGGGTTGCAGCAACAGAAGCGTCGATAAGCACTTGTAGGTTTGTGACTGGGCAAACGTGATGTCCGCATTGGGATGCATTCCAAACAGCACTGGATCGTCATTGATCGGAAATGTCTTGATGTAGTCCATGTAGTCCAGGAACATGGATGTTGCTGGAAGCTGAAAGATCGCAGAAGAAAAATTATAAGTAGGAGCTTCAGTTATAGTGTTTCGATCTGGATGTGATAAGTTATACAATTAAATGAATTAAAGGCAAATTTGGACGCTTAGCACCATTACCTGGTGATAGTATTGATCCTTGTCGAAAACATAGTCTGAATCAACCACTTCCGGCTTATAATAATCGGCCAGAACATTCATGAGACATCTTCTATCCCAATCATCAGTCACTCGCCCGCCGTAATTTATTTGGCCTGCCGTGTAACTGAGTACCTATCGGGGGTTTAAAAAAAATTAACAGCTGATTTCTTGGAATGATTAACTATAGGACTGGGTAACTCAGTGAATTTTTAGGAGTTGGCGCAGTGCCGCGCAAATGGTTTGGTGCGCCAACCCACCGAACCGGCGGAGTAACTCAGTTCTGTTGTTGGAAAAATGTTGATTTATTTTACAGGCCATTTATTAATAATATGTTTAAAACGTCTTCAAATTTCATTATTTTCAAGTTTTAGCCAAGTTACTCTTCCTTCTAAATGCTCAATTTTCTAAAGTTTCACTTAAAAATGCTGACAATCTTAAGGTTTTCTCCAAAAGCGATAAAAAGTGTTTAATCGAAAACGCAAAAAAGTTTTATTTTCTGATGATTTTCTTCTTTTTTGACAATAATAGGGTGCTTTCAGTCAAAAATAACAAAATTAATTTTGCCAGAAAAATCGCCCCATTCATCGGTTTGCAGGGAACTTTAGAAAAACCATTTCAGCTTCGAATTTGGCACAAAAAGCAACTGATTTTATTCAGTTTTTTAACGAAAAGAATTAGGACTATCTTGAAAAAACTACCAGAGAGGAAAAGTTTTCAAAAAAATATTTGTAAAATTCGCCGCCCTCATTTTCTAAACGATTTCTAAAGTTCCTTTAAATTTTCAGGTCATTCCAGTTTTAGCAAAGTTTCTATTAAGCAATTCTTTCTACGCGAAAATTGCATTATTTTTTTGTTTTACTTAAAATACAGGCAATTTTCAGGTATTTTCTGTGAAAAATTATAGGATACATTTTATTGGAACACTTGGCTCCTTAACCGCTTTGCAAAAATGTTTGGAAAACTTTTTGCATCTTCGAATTATGGACAAAACCATAATAATTATTTCTTGGTCTTTTTCCAAAAATATTTCCCCGAACTGATAAAGCGAAAGTTTCTAATTATTTATTTGGACAACTCTTGGAAACTGAAGTTTCTTCACTTTTAGGTCAATATTTCTAAACAACTCTGTTTCTAAACAGAAAAACCCCTGCAAACTGAATCTTTTATGCAAAAAAATGAAGAGATCGACAAGAAAATTCGTCGATTTTCTTTGGACTCAGTTCTGTTGCTGGGAAAATCTAGATTACTTTTTTTTTAGTTGTTTGAACAAAGTAGTAAAACGTTCCTCAGAAAAAATGTTTCTTTTTTAGATTTTATTTTATTTTTAGGTTTTTACCCTTTTTTAGATGTGAAAATTCCAGCCTAGGGTTTCCTACAGCTTTAATCGTCTTTAATAAATGAGTTATAACTCATTAACCGATGAGTTATAACTCGTTAACTCAGAGAGCGGCATCAACTCAATAGCGCAACTCAAGACAGTGTTACCCAGGCCTAATTGACTATACCTTGAAGGGAATGTCTTCGTACTCGAGTAAAAACATATGCAGCTGAGACAGGCATATTTTCAAATCACCATCGGTGAACTCATACGGGATGTTGAATCCAAGCGGGCCAAACTTGCGCCTTTCCAGCAAAACGCCGTGGAATAAACATAGGGAAAAGGTGAGCAGCTTAAAGTCGGGCGCCTTCCTATTATCAGACTGCATAAAGTCCGAAAAGTCCGCGACCTGATTCAGGTAGGCCCGCAATATGTTGGCTTTTATGCCTAAAACCACCAGATTTTAATAGTTTTAAATGGCTTGTCCAAACTTCCCATTTGTGACAAAGATGTTTTTATCACCAGAAAAAGTGCCCAACACTGATTGCAAAATAAAAACTTCTTTGTGTAAAAAGCCCGAATAAACCATTCAATATTTCCATATCTACCGGAGGGTGGTTCCACAGTCATTTTGCTGCCGTTTTGCAAAATGGAAACTGGAAAATGAGGGGATGGAGTGGAGGTGAGCCATATTCGAAAGTCCCTATGTACAACATCCGGTGGTATGGTTTCAATGATCCGCTCTAAACTGGGCATCCAACTAGGGGCCAAATGGCAGTTCTAAATGGGAAAAACCTTCCCAGTCCAACCCATTTTCCTGTTACAAATCCAGAGGCGTACCTGGAAAAACACCCACGAGCCAGCCTCGACCGCTTCTTTGATCATTCGTTCTGCCCTCGGGCCCTGCCCCTGACCAAGCGAAATGGAAAACATGCGTTTCCCCATTTTCATGCGATCGGCGAATTTGTACAAATCAGCAGCCGGATCTGTACCGGTCGATAAAACGAAAATGAGCGGAACTGCCGGTCCTGACTCTTTAAACATCGCCGACAGATCAGAAGACTGCGGCTCGATGAATTGCTGCCCGAGCTTCTGAGACAGGTAGTCTTGCATTGCATTGGTCACTTTGTCCGGCCGCAGGCTCTTCAGAACGATCATTTTCTGGAAATCGTCCATTGTGGAGTTGAACGGCTCAGGTAGAGCTTCCCTAATAAAAAAAAGTCACTGTTGCGATACAAATTACCCCCAAGCTTGGCAGTTACCGGTGAGGCTCAGCGCTGTCAAATATCTCTTTGTAATAGAGCAAGTTCCTAGAAAAAGAGCCCACAAATTTCTGAAAATTCGGCAAAGCCTCCAGAGCTAAAATCTCGTTCCACGCTTTTGAAGACAGCCAGTTGGGCGCAGGATTTGCCAGATCCTGCAACAGATTTTGACTGGAAATTTTCCAAAAATTTCTTTTTTTTCTTACCCTTAAGGGAGACCCGCCCGCAAGGAAATGCTGCCATTCGAGCGCATTTATTTGGCCATCTTCCATCAGGATCCTGATGCACATCAGGAAGGCAAAGTGAAGCTTGTGCTTCTCGAACAGACTTCTGCAAACGTTGCTGAACAGATTGAACGTGAAATACTCGTTAATCGTCACTACGCGTTCGGCAATGTCGTCTGTAAAACATCAAAGTATTGGAAGCATTTTTGATTATTTTTCAGTAATGTCTCAAAAAACTTGCCGCTTTTCTCGGTTTCTGCCATAGTAGATATGAAAATGTTGATAAACCACTCGAGGGAGTACTGGTACATCGGATCCACATTCGACAAATCGGCCAAACAGAAGAATAAAATCTGCGCCCGATTTGCCACCGGGATGTAAAGCGCCCTGGTGTTGTCGATGTCGATTTGGGTAATTTCCGCAGCTTCAACTTTGCTCTGGGAAACAAACACACCCACTCTCTTAGAGTATCACCATACATTAAAAACTCACTTTAATGTCTTCGCTTTTCACTTTCGACGCCTCCAGGGTGATGATAAAGTCCAGATCGTCCAAAGGTGAGCCCTCGGATGAGCTCAGCTTCATCAGGATGCGATCCTGGATGTCTTTCAACTCGTGCTTCATCTGCGCCACTCCGACTACAATTTGACTCCTTTGCTCTTCCAAGTCTGGACGCTCTTGCATCACCACTAGAGCCAGAAGCTGATCTTGCAGCCCTCTGGAAAAGTAGAGAGGATTAAATTTTTTTGCACAGTCCAAAGGACGATAAGAGCCTCACGTGGAAACTACTGTGAAGTTAACCAGGAGCACTTTGATGGAAACTTCGGGAGTATAATGCGGATTCGGCAGTTTGGTGGTGATAAAGAGGCGAAAATTGGCATCGTACGGAACGACCACATCGCCCAGCTTGATCACCATTGTGCCTCCTTGATTGTAAATTTGCCGCATTAAAATTGGATCAAGAGCTGGATCCAAGTCGACGCCAACATTCTCAATTAGCACCGGTTTTCCAAAACGCACCGCTGATTCCATGGTGCGCATCAGATCCTTGTCCGAGAGCTTGCAGATGGACAGTCCTTGCGTTTTTCCCTGTAAAACACTGTAGAAGAAGCCCAGTTTTCGAGCTTTGTGTAGTTCCCACCATATTTTTCACCCATTTGTTCGCTTGGCCTTGCGGATCGACAAACAAGGGCCATCTTCTGGAGCAGGACACCAAAACGGCATTTTCCGTCGAAAGATAATCTCTAGGCAAACCATCTAGCTGCCACAGGCGGATCTCCACTGGATCTCCAAGAATGCTGACTGGGTTGGCGTTTTTCGAAAACGGTATTTCACGTTCCTTAAAACAGAATTGATGTAAAAGTGGGCAAGTTTCGAGTGCAAATTTACCTCAATCAGGCGGATCCATTGAGTGAAAAGGTTGCGTCTGTACTGGTCGGTGAAGGGAGTCATGTAGGCGACACATCCAGAGCTAATCAATATGTCCCCAGTTACGTTAATAACATTGGCTTCGATGTTTTCAATAGTCTCTATCCATCTGGAAAAAAATCAACCATCAATTTCCAAACAGAAGAAAGTTGTTTTATTTTGGAATCCTAATAAACCTTCCAAAGAAAGGATGGGTTGCACCCCGTAGCAAAACGGCGAATATTCTTGGAGCTCTCGTCGTGGTCCAGAGTGAGAGCAACTTATCGGAAATCTGTGACCTTGTTGCACTTTTCCCATTTACGAGGGTTGATTGCTAAGTGCTTTGCGTTCATTATGCTATGCGTTATTTGAAAAATGTACCTGATTCTTTCATCAGCTAATCCAGAAATCAAACGAACTGCCCGATTCATCCTCTCTTCGCATACAGCAATGCCTTGCTCTTTTTCTTGCTTAAAGGCGATTTTAGCGTTAAGTTGCGTTTGTAGCTTGCTCAGTCGATCCAGCACTTCTTGCATCTTGGCTCTGGCCGCTGCTAGAGCCTTTTCTGTTTCAGCCAGCTCCTCATTGGCCTGCTTGAGGGCGGCTTTCTTTGGCGCCACCCCCAAGTTTACAAAGTAGTATTTGAACATGGCGTGCACCCACATGCAAAGCGAAGTGCATGCTTTAGAAATCTGCAAATTAGAAAAATTCCTTGACAAAAGTCTCAGCACAACGTTGCCGAGAATACTTTGGCAATCTTCTGCGGTGTGAAATCGGGGTCTTCGACGTATTTCTTCAGTTTTTCAATCATTTCATCCGTGATGGAATCCTTGTCGAAGTTCATCAAAGAGGCGAGAAACTGGCCTGGATCTGAAAGCATGTTTCTTCCAGGATCCCAGTAGTCCAGCAGTTTTTCTCCTGGTCTCATTCCCGGTATCTGCAATTCCAAAAGGCAGGTTTAGGTTTAAATCATTTACTGATTTCACTTTTTTACTTTGTTGGGCTTGATGTTTTTCACAATGCAAATGGACTCGATCACATAAACCACTCCAGCTGGGGGACGTTTCATGGATCGCACCTCAATAATGTCGTTCTTGTTCAAGGACTTCAAGCTCTGTTCTGCGGCTAGTAGGGCGGGCATTGCTTCATCTGGAACAATCGGGTTTTTCTACAATTTGCCTGAAATTCCAGCTGCGACCCCACCTAAGTCCTGTTGGGCGTCTTCAGCAATCAGCTGCGTAGCTTCGGCCTTCTTGGTTGCTTCTTGCTCTTCTCGTTCCACGATTTCTTTGGTTTCCTCTGCTACGATCTATTAAGGAAGTGATTGAGGCGACTTTAGAACCTCCTTAAGTCCACTTACTGTATCAGCGGCGATAATTTGTATCATTTCATCTGCGTCCTTAGCCGCCACTTGTAGGGCAGGTTTCATCTCCTTCAGCTGCTCTTGGAGCACTTTTACCTCTTCGGAAGTGATCTGCAGCTTGGATAGGCCTAGAAGGAACTGTTAAGAAATCTTGCGAATTTTTTCCCGTCACAAAATTGCCTGTTTTCAGCCGGCCCACTCCTTCAGTGAGGGAGCCTTTCTTCTTATTCATTAGCTCTGTATAGCTGGAAAGCAGCTCCAAATAGGACGTAGGAGTGACGTAGTTGTGTCTGGATAGTTCCTGCAAATAGCGCTCACTCGCCTCCACCACACTGGCGTGCATAAATTGGAAAACCACTACAATTCCATTCAGGATCGTCTCTGATACGTTTAGGTCTTCTACGTCTTTGAGAAACTGCAACGCCACTGACTGAAATTCAATTGAGCGAATAGAAATCGAAATATTTCCATTCGAGAGTTTTCTAAAAGTCCTGAAAATAAATAATTTTGCGTGTGTTGAAGAGGACAATTGAGTGGGAACAAACACAATTAGACCCATTTTTACCAAGTTGGCAAAAACCAGAATCTTGGGTTATTCTTATAAAACTTTCAGCATCTTTCTATTCAAGTCTCTTCAAAAGATGGTGAAAATTTCAATCTTTTGCGTGTGTTAGCTTGAAAGATACGATTTTTTACAGAAGAGAACGCAGTCGAGTAGAGACAAACATAATCAGACGCATTTTGACCATGGTTGCAAAAATCGAAATTTTGCGTGATTGCTATGAAACTTGCAGCATCTTTCCATTCACGTCTCTTCAAAAGATGGTGAAACTTTCAAATTTTTGCGTGTGTTAGTTTGAAACATACGATTTTTTTAAGAAGAGAACGCAGTTGAGTAGAAACAAACATAATCAGACCCGTATTTACCATGGTTGCAAAAATGTAAATTTTGCGTGATTGTTATGAAACTTACAGCATCTTTCCATTCAAGTATCTTGAAAAGATTGTTAAATTTTAAATCTTTTGCGTGTGCTAGTGTGAAAGATACGATTTTTTTAAGAAGAGACCGCAGTTGAGTAGAAACAAATATAATCAGACCCATTTTTACCATGGTGGCAAAAATCGAAATTTTACGTGATTTCTATAAAACTTGCAGCATCTTTCCATTCAAGTGTCGGCAAAAGATCGTGAGCATTTCAAATTTTTACATGTGTTGGTTTGAAAGATAGGATTTTTTAACGAAGAGAACGAAGTTGAGTAGAAACAAACATAATCAGACCTATTTTTACCAAGGTGGCATAAATCGAAATTTTGCGTGATTTCTATGAGACTTGGAGCGTCTTTCCATTCAAGGGTCTTCAAAAGATCCTGAAAATTTCAAATTTTTGCGAGTGTTAGTTTGAAAGATACGATTTTTTAAAGAAAATAACGCAGTTGAGTAGAAACAAACATAATCAGACCCATTTTTACCATGGTGGCAAAAATCGAAATGTTGCTTGATTGCTATGAAACTTGCAGCATCTTTCCACTCAAGTGTCTTGAAAAGATCGTGAAAATTTCAAATTTTTGCGTGCGTTAGTTTGAAAGATACGATTTTTTAAAGAAGAGAACGTAGTTGAGTAGAAACAGACATTATCAGACCCATGGTTGCCATGGTGGCGAAAATCGAAATTTTGCGTGATTGCTATGAAACTTGCAGCATTTTTCCACGCAAGTGTCTTCAAAAGATTGTGAAAATTTCAAATTTTTGCGTGCGTTAGTTTAAAAAATACGCGTTTTTTTAGAAGACAACGCAGTTGAGTAGGAACAAATATAATCAGACCCATTTTTACCATGATGGCAAAAATCGACATTTTGCGTGATTACTATGAAACTTTCAGCATATTCCCATTCAAGAGTCTCCAAAAGATCGTGGAAATTTCAAATTTTTGCGTGTGCTAGTTTGAAAGATACGAGTTACCATGGTGGCAAAAATCGAAATTTTGTGTGATTGCTATGAAACTTGCAGCATCTTTCCATTCAAGTGTCTTCGAAAGATCGTGAAAACTTCAAATTTTTGCGTGTGTTAGTTTGAAAGATACGATTTTTTTAAGGAGATAACGCAGACAAACATCATTAGACCCTTTTGTAACAAGCTGGCAAAAACTAGGCTTTTGAGTGATTCTCAACGTTTTTCCAGTGAAAGATCTCAATTCTTCTCTCGATTCGACCTCTTTGAGAATCCTTGAGTTCCTTGAGAAAAACAAACGTTCGTGTACTGTTCTGGTTCGTTCGTGTGCGTTTCCAGATAGATTAGGCACATATGCTTGAGCATATGAACAAAGACCACAAGAAAATTTTAAGTTAAAAAAAATTAAAAACCTTGTTTTAAGGGCTATTTACCTGTAAAGCTGAATCGGGCCACGGACAGAACCAATCGATGGTACAGCAGTTGACCAAGGCTGGAAACTGCCGCAATCGGGCCCTGAATATTTCCCCAATTGGACTGTTTTACAATGAAAAATGATATCAAAACCCCATTTTCATCAGCCCCCATAATCGCTGCTATTATACCTCATGGTGATCACTGTATGTAAATTTGACCTCACTTGTTTCTGGTAAACGGAAAACAAAATGGACTTGGTGGCCGGCAGCCCCAATTCCTGCACCGTTCCTTTCATCCCCTGATAGATTTTATCCATCTCGTCGGGTTGGTAAATATTGGGAACATCGCCCGAGTTCAGCACATTGTTTAAATCCTCCAAAAACGACTCGGATTTAATCTGGAAACCCACTTTGTGCAAATACCCGAGCGCAAATCAGCCCGCGATTTTTCACCTGCGTGTCGGAAAACAAAAATACAGTTTCTCGTCGTTGCAGGCCGGCATTCAGCATTAGTTTCTTTACATCCTCTCTCCAATCATACGCTCCATAGGCTTTGGTTAATTCGATTTGGAAGCACGCAAATTCCGCCATGAACGAGGCCAGTCTTGTCAGACTTTGCCGGCCTGAAAAAAGCCAGTTGAAGGATTTAAAAACTATTCTAAAGCTGCTAACCGGAGCCCCCCATTCCTAGTAGCAAGGCATTTCCCATGGGCTGCCGAATAATCCTGGATATTCTACACACGTGCGAGATGGCATCCAGAAACAGCACCAGCTTCATGGGTTTTGTGCTCTGCTGGTTATATTCCTGCAGGTAATAGTCCAAAGAACGCCCCAGCTGCTCAAAATCCATTATTTGAATGTAGGGCCCCATTTCAACTTGGGGGTCGAGAAAATCCCCAAAAAGAATCGGCTGTTTGCCCAAAGTTTCGTCCGGATCCAACTGGTAGAAGCTGGAGATTTGGTTCTTCAGCAACGTTTCGAACCAGACCCGGTCTTCATCGTTTACCAGGCGATCTTGGAAGACGCGACAGCATTCATGGTACCAAAGTCGCAGCGCTGATTGAACATCCTGCAACGGAAACAACTGGAAATAATTGGAGGAACGTGGGATATTTTTCCAGTTTTCCACTCTGTTCCGGGAGTTATTTAAAAAAAGTCATCAAAGTTGTGTAACTTTATTAGGAAAAACTGCATGCTTCACACACAAGCATGGTTGTCCCCATTTGCCACACACTGTGTATTTGCTGGGCACGTGTAAGTCTGCAAAGTCCTGTAGACTTTGAGGCCTCGGTCAACATCACGCCAGCAATAAACAAACGAGTGAGGCGTCAGGCATCTTAAGCCACTGGATGGACAATGGTCACTGTTTTCTCCAAATTCTTTTAGGTCTGCAATTAAATAAAACTGATTGATTGATTATTTTTTTAGTCTTCAGTTGTGGTGTGTCTTCTACGTCAAATTATTTTGCTCCATTTGCAATCATTTGCTTCATTTCAATTCAAAGGCGATTGCATCTACACCGACATACATTTTGATCCTGTACAATAAACATTCGTGTAATATTTTTGTTTGATTTAAACCAAATCCTCAGGTATTGCAAAGTAAAATATGTAGTGGATTTTAATTAAAAAACTCGTTTAAACGCAACGCAAATAAATCTGTTTGGCAAATTTTTACCTAGAATTTCCTGCGGCCTTTCTGGATACAAAGCAGGAACGGCTTGGTTTTCATATTGCGCTTTGACGAAAATCAAAACAGCCGCCAACAGGACAATCTTCAAAATCAACACAGAAAAGCTTTACAAACAATTAAACAAATAAAATCAATTCTTACCGTGGTCTTCATGGTTTCTTCACTGGAACTGGTACCAGCTGGTACCAAACTCAATTTTTATGGGTTTTTATACGCCGTTTATAGCTTATTTTTGCAACAATCATAAAATGCACTAAAGCATTGTGTTCGTGGCTAATAAAATATGTTGAAATCGTGAAAAACTGCGCGTTTCATAACGAATTTTGGCAAAAATTATAGACGTTTAATAAAGTAATTTAATTAATGAAAAACCCTAAATCAATATTATTTAACCGTAAAAATTCCCAGAAAAAATGAAAATCATTATGAATGGATCAGATTTTTTTTTCATCATTTATGGGGCGAAGAGCGAGAATTTAGGTGGAATTTTATTCTCGAATTTTTCTCTCTTAAACGAAGCCGGCTATCGAAAAAACTTATATCCTCCATAAAATGCTCAGTTTGTCATAATGTACCTGGATAGTATTTTTTCGAGATAAAATGCTCTTAATGTTGTTTCCAAAAAAATTCTACAACTCTGAATTTTGATCGCGCTACTGAACAAGGCCGATTAATCCTAAAAAAAAACAATAAAACGCCTAAAATGTCGACTCCAAATGTAGAAAAATTTTAAAAACTCCAAGCGCGCCACTGGGTGAAGAGGTTGGACATCCACAGGAAAAATGGTACACACTGTTTCCTTAAAGCAAATGCTAAGAAAGTGTTACAGGCGGTTTATTGCTTCAAAGCGCAACTTTTGTGATTATTTTTCGGAAAACGCACACACTTTTTGACTTGCGCCGCAGAAAATGGCAACAAATATCAATCCTGCTAAAAAAATTTTAATGCCACTCAATCATTCTGACCTGCTACTGGCAGACTTTAATGCCATTTAAAATAGAATGGCCTTTTTAAGTGCAATTTGCATGAAATCTTTCCGTAATTAATTGCTGAAAGACCCAATTGGAAGTAACGAAAATAGCAAGGATTTTTCCCAGATGCACCCCGTTTGGAGTTGAAAATACCATCAGGTATTTTTGCAAATAATTGTTAAAACTAAGCGGCATTTGCATCTTCATGATAATCTATAAATTAAAATTGAAAGGCACGTATAGGTGCAAAAAAGTTTCGAATCCGGACCATTATCCGATTTTTTGGCCAGTAATCGATATTTACTTACCTTTAGAGAAGCTGGTTCAAACATCAAAATGCCCTGAAACACTTTGCTCAAATCCCTCAAGTTAAAGGTGTAGTGAGTTTTCGCAGGCGTAGGCAACAATTCCCTTAAAATCCTATCGTAGACGATCAGAGTGGAGGTTAGTATGGGCGTGGCGTATTCTTCCAGACCATCCACAGCTTTGCCTATCCAATATTTCAATATGGTGCCAAAAATCTTGCGCTGCAAATGAATGAAAAGCTACTTCCATTCTGATCTTAAATTTGAGGATTTTTTATTACCTTGCTAGCATCCTCCATCTCAACAAAAGCCAAATAGTGAAAATGGCGCAAAAGCCGAGCAGTGACTGGATTTCGTCCACCACCCGGTGGCCCCATTGCGGCCACGAAGTTCACATCGATGATAGTCCGAAAGTCCCCAATGTTTTTCCTATCGTACCAACCTGATGGGCAAAAAACGCATTTAAAACCACAAAAACACTGGTAAAACACTTTCCATTGAAATCCATCCATTGTCGGATGAGCTCGATGGGTGGCTGCGCCCCATACACTTCCAAAGCCGGCATATTGAAGTCGTCAATGAAGAAAACCTGCCGTTTAAGCACCGGAGGTCCAAACACCCCTTTGCGTCGTCTGTCTAGTTTCGAATCAATCAGATCCTGAAAATTTCCGTTTTGAAGCAGAATCGTAAAAGTGCACTCTAGAAATGTTCTACCTGCGTCTGATTTGCCGTGGTTCTAGCCGAAAAACTGATGAAGTCGCACATGAACTTCTTGGGCATATTTTTGCTGAGTTTCCCGATTACGGTCAAAGTTTTCCCGGTTCCGGTGGGTCCCACACACAACACGTTGTCTTCATTCGTCAGCAAATTGCCAATCAGTTCAGCGCTACGAACATTGTCAACTGTCGGGATTTCTATGTCTAAACATGAAAAAAATTGAAATTAACTCAAGTTTTCACCAGAGAATATTTAAAAATTAAAACGTTCATTCAAGCTCATTGGTTCCAGGAACGAACTTTACCTTCACTTACTGTCAACTTTCCCTTAATCAATGAAGAAACCTATTGCGGAAAACTGTATCGATCCAGGAGCAATTAAGTGAATAGTTTTCTAATATTGATATAAAAGGGAAAATTTGGAAAGTTGCTTCCTAGTTTCCTATCTGCTTTGATTAGTTTTAATTAATGTTTTTAAACTATTTACATAGTCGATTCCACTGCATGGCACACGGCAGAATGCATTTTTAGAAGGATAATTTAAAAAACTCTCAACAAACATCGAGTTCTACGAAATTATTCAACTTTAGCACACTTGATAATTGAAGTATTTTTCACAAACATTAAAATTAAAATTTCGCCACTTTACCTGGGCTGGTTTACCTGCGGTGATTTTTTAAAGTCAAGCCAACACAATGCAAACTGCGCTTTTTTTGCAGGCAAGTTCCGTTTGATTCATGCTCTCAAAAACTGGCAAAATCGTTGAAAACAGCCCGAAAGATTTTTTCAAAGCAATAGAAATGAAAACGTTTCGAAAAATCATCAATTTTTTTTCGATAGCAAAGCAAAGCTCCCGAACATAAAAAAATCGGAAATTTACACCAGCTCCATTAAAGCCAGTTGTAGACAGTCAAACCTAATAGTCTGGCAAAACACCGTTTAGCAAAATTCGGATTAAGCGACAGCATTTCTCAGTCTCCCCTCGTAAATTGGGAAAGTGCAACAAGGCCAGCGATTTCCGATACGTTGCTCTCACTCGTGAACATGACGGGAGCTCCAGGAAAACTTACCGTTGTGCTACCGGGTGCTTCCAATGCGTATCTAACACTTCTTTTGCAAGAAGCTCCCAACTGACTGAACTTACCGGAATATTTCATATCTCCTGTTATCTTGTAATCGGCGATATTATCCATCCATCCACGCCATGTGGGCGGTGCCGGTTCACCGTCGCTTGTAACATCCGTAAATCCTCCATCGTGCAGGCTGAAGCAATAAATAGACAACAAACAATCAATTAATTTGAATAAAGCTCACTTAAAGTCGTAGCATAAGCCATCTTCAGGAAACTGAGGCTCATGTCCACCTTCCAGCATTCGATCTCGGATAAATCGGTCGAAAAGGATTCTGCCATTGTTATCGCATGTGGCGCCAATGCTCCAAATCGTGTTGAAAACCACCCAGGGCACAAGCAGATTGGCTGAAATAAGTTCAAAACCTGTTTTTTCCACCAATGACAACTGAGCTTAAACGTACGAATTAATGCCTGAAATTGGGCCGGAGGCGGAGGTTTGTTGTCTCTTCCAGATAGCGGGCCAAGCCTGAAGTCCATGAGCCGCAAAAACGACATCAAAAGAGCCGAATCCACCGATGTTAAAATTTCCTTTAATTTTCCTCGAACCAGCTCGATGGCGGGAAGCACGTAGAACGCAAACAGCGCCTCGAATTCGTCCAAATAGGCCTGCCCTAGCTAAAAAACGTACACACATTGTCTGCCGTCCCATCAATCCCTCTTGATTAGTATTTGTCCACCGGGAAATGTTTACACAGCGTTATACAATGCAGTGTTTGTTTTTTCAGCTGAATACAACCGACCTGTGGCACCCTTTTCAACCAGCAGCTGATAAAGGGGTTTAATCCCAAAACGCCCGGCTCGAGATAAACCATCCCACACCTGCAAGTTTACAAATCAGCACAAAAATTCCCAAATTAGCCTGGTTAAGTGCCTGGAAACAGTAGCTGGCGAAGCCACAGCTAAGTCAGCTACTTCAAACATCATCGTCATGGTGTCGCGTAGTTTAATGATCTCGCCAGAGCTGAGACAGAGCTTCTTGTTGTCATCCAGAACAGTGTTCATGTTCTCGATCCAGACTGCGTCCACCGGACCATCGAACACATACCATCTCTTGTCTTTGTCAGGCGCCTTTATGCCCACTCGCACTAAGGAGGGCAAAATCCCATCGGTCCTAAATTTGTTTAGGAGAGAAAACATTTTTACAAAACTGGGTTTGAAAGTGGCACTAGTTTGCAATCGGCACTGGTATTGGGCAAATGTGCAACGAGGACGGGCCGATTTCGATATGTTGCTCTCACTCTTGACTGCGGCGCCAGCCTAGTGAGAATTTGTACGTTGTGTTACGGGGGGCCTCCAATGTGAAGCCCAATTGATTTAAATTGCAACCATAAAATTTAATATTGCACAAAGTTAATAAACAGAAGGTTGATTAACCCATCATTAGCCTGTTCACGGAAACTTTTTCAAAAAACGCTCTTAACCTAGACCTAAATCAGTATAAAAGTGTAGGTAGTTTAATTATTTTGGGCAGCTGGGAAAATTAGTGTCTTACCATTCATGGGTTTGCAAGTCAAATTCCCCGTACAACTGACCCATTGTGATCGATTTCGGGTTCAAAACATACGTCTGGACGGCCTGGAAAGGATATCCACTAGGCTGCGGTTGGCCCTTCAACGAAGTCATGGCCACTTTCAGCGTTTCGTAGCACTGACAAAAATTAATAAATTAATTACTTTTACTCATGAGTGCGCCATTCCTGAAAGTGCGACTGAAGCTAATAGAAACAAACATCTAATAACTCCTGGATGTCTAGCGCCAGTAAGTGACAGCAGATTCACACTTGAGCCATTCTGAAGGCACCAGGGATTTGAAAATGGTCTGGATATTGCATGCGCATCGCAAAAATGTGGATAAAACTCAAAAGCACTCGCTCGGCAATCCAGTCGCATTCATCCCTTAGCACTTGAAGCTTCGCGCGCGTTTAACGCGAGTGCCTTGAGGGAGATCTCGGAATTTTCGAAGAACGTGACCAGGTTTGAGGCTTGGACAGTTTCACCAGTTGATTTCTCCAACAGCTGGATTTAGATTTGAAAAAATCCCCTAATAGGTATAGGTTTTAAATTTAATTTATTTCTGAGAAAAAGTTTCTTAATGAGCTGATTGTTTTTCCAAAAAAAGGATATTTGGGACTGTTTTTCGTGTTTTCCAATTTTCTCTGCAATATGAGCCAGTTTGGACGTACAAGAGGATGTTATGCGAATTGTTTTGGAGATACGCGCTTATTTAAATTACTTGAAAACTGAACATAAGTTTCTAAATTGAACGAGCCACTGAAATACAAACATATATGCAAATCGACAGCCAAATTTCTTGAGTGGTCAAAAGCCCCTGACCGCCGAAAAATTGTCACCTTGTACATCTAGAATTTTTGGTTTTATGTGAACACTTGTGCAACATTTTAAGTAATCTATGGCGAAAATCAGAACAAATTAACTCAAAAACGAAGGTGGGAGGAATAATCTAGGAAAAATATCAGTCTTTGATAGGCTGCTGTATCTGAAAAATCACGACACAAACCACACTTACTTGACAAATGTATCTTAAAATTCGGTGCTTTATCTACTGAACCATCAAAATTCACAATTTCCGCCATCCATCTGGGATGGTTGGGCTGTAGTAAATTTATGAAAGCAGTCGTGCACCTGTTGGATTCGTTAATTCAAAAATGGACAAAGTCCGTGAAAACAGTCAAATGACTAGTCTGAAAGATTTTTTATTTTTAAGCAATAGAAGTAAAAACATTCTAAAAAATTGCCTGATTTTTTTGATAATAAAGCAATTAAGATGTTTAAGACCAGTTGTGAATATTCAAACCTAAAATTCTGAAAAAATACATTATGTTCTTATCTTTCCTGGGTCTCAGTCAAAGTGTGAAGTAAAAATTTTGCATATCGTTTATTTCATTTTTTTTAGAGAGAGGAAAGACAAATTTAAGGTTTCAAGAAGGCAAAGACCTAAAAGAACGTAATTTTTACCAATTATAAGTTTGTCTAAATTTTAAATCTGATGATGGCGCTGTGGTCTCGCCGAAACGTAATGAAATAAACGATATTAAAAATTTTTACTTCATACTTTGAATAAGACTCAGGAAATATAAGAATATAATAACAGAGACAAATTTAAGGTTTCAAGAAGACAAAGACCTAAAAGAACGTAATGTTTACCAATTATGAGTATGTGTAAATTTTAAATCTGATGATAGCGCCAAAACGTAATGAATTAAACGACATTCAAAATTTTTAGTTCGCACTTTGACTGAGACCCAGGAAAAATAAGAATATAATAACAATTACACGCAGTCCAGAAAATAAATCAAAATATGAAAAAATATAGTAGGAAATTCGGATTAAAAGTGGCAGCTTTTAGCGACATCCCCTCGTAAATGGAAAAAGTGCAACAAGGCGACCGATTTCCGATACGTTGCTCTCACTTGTGAACATGGCTGGAGCTCCAAAAAATTAACTGTTGTGTTACGGGGTTCCTCCATTTCGTAACTAACGCTTTTTTGCGAGAGGAAATGTAACTTGACATTCGGTGATATGCGCTTTTGACTAAAAATATTGGAATTTTTGACCGAAACTAAGTGCTGGTAAAATGCTTATCGTTGGGAATTATTCAAAAAATCCCCAACGATAATAAACCGAAGTAGAATTTACTGACGTAATATTAGGTACTGATTCCGCACTAACATTGCCGATTGGCTGTTTATAATCCTGTAGGCGGGTTTTTAGGTACGCACTTATTTTTTTGTTCCTTAAACTGACCAATGATACCAAGCATAATCCGATAGGCTGGGTTTGAAAAGACACAACAAACGCGCATCTTTGCGCTCAATTCCCAAGTAACTTCCACCTTTATTGAGTTAATAGTTTCGAATTTTTGGACGCCAATTGACAGTCGAGCTCAACAATGAACATAAATCACTCGCAATCTGGAAGATAAATTGCTATATTCGAGCTAGAAAACCCTCAACTCTGCAACTGGATTTTCGTTAAGTCTGAAAGTTGAGTTTGGACGATTTTTTTTTCAATTGCAATTTCCATTTCCAAGAAACCCACGAAACGATACCCTCCGAAGTGATTTTGTAATTATCGTAGTGTTTCGCGCAATCCCCGAATACTTAGCAGAAATGAAGGAAACCCTTTAATGGAATTATTGTTCTATTTTCGACCGAACTTAATCATGTGGTTTAATAACATGGCATTTGTCTTAAGTAAATTCATTTCCAGTTTATGCACAGACAGAAGTAACATTGGAAATTAAGCTCTGAAACTGAAGCTGAATGTTTGCTTAATTACCTTTGCATGTTGTGAGTTTACAGTGTTTGGAAGCCAAACAACCAAAACGAATAACTTTTGAGGAAGAGCTGGGAAACTATTTGGATCATAGACCTACATAATTTCCCTAATACTCCATGAATGTATTGGAAATACTCCCATTTATGCAGGATTGGGGCCTTCAATCAGCAAAACATCGAAGCCAAAGGAAGATGTGAGATTTGGCCTGATTGAAATGATCAGTGTGTTGGAAAATTCGTCTTCAATCCGCAACTTTTTGTTCGACTTGGACTTTCAACTGAACAGCACTGATAATGACAACACCATCGATGGCTACATTGAGATTTGCTTTCCATTAGCCAAATATCTGCAAACTCTGCACTGGATCTACATGGCTGCGATCATCATTGTGGGACTCGTGGGCAATTTTCTGTCGTTTTTGGTTCTGCTGATCAGCGAATTGAAGTTGCGTAGCTCCAGCTACTACTTGGCTGCCTTGGCGGTAAGCATCCAAATCCAACCGACTGAATTTGTTGTACGGTTTCTCTGTTTCCAGGCCTCGGATTTCGGCTTCAATCTCATTCTGCTCTTCAAAATCGTCAGCTTCAACGAAATCCTCAATCTCTTCAACGTGGAAGGTTTCTGCCAGTTCTTCACCTACTCATCATCAGTGTGCGCTTTCCTCAGCGTCTGGCTTACGGTCGGGTTTACCACCGAACGATTCATTGCTGTTCGATATCCGTTGCAACGCCAGTATATTTGCACAGTATCTCGAGCGAAATCTATAGTTTATGGAATCATCGGAGTGGCTTTGGTCACACAAATTCACATATTCTGGGTGAGTTTTCGATTTTTTTAGACGCTTAACTAAACCGACAATAAACACTTTATCTGATAAAAATGGCCTTTTCCAGTGCAAAAAACGCGTCAATATTTATTTGCTTTATAAAACGCAAAAACTGGCATTAATCTAAGAGATAAGAAGACACACGAACAGAAACGATAAAAAGAACAAAACACTTTCGATCACTAACATACAAAGACAAAGGAATTAGTACCAATACCGCGACAAAAATATACAAAGCGATCTGCAGACCCCTCTTGGACTACGGACATATACTCATGGCCAACGGAACAGAAAGGACAAAACGATATGTACAAACAACTGAACAAATTGCACTAAGACTAATAACACGAATAAGACACCCCCAAAACCCTCTGCACAACCCTTCCAACCAACTACTATACGAACGCACAAACATGATCAAAATTTCGGAAGGACTAATACACTTACAGACAAAATGGACAAACAACCCTCACAACTGGACCATACTGAATCCCCTTTGCCTAACAAGACGGGCAAAACATTCCCGTTTACGTACCCCAACAGATACTTTACTGGAACACCTACAAACGCAACTGAACTAACGACTAAGACCTGTTTGTTTTGTGGGCGGGAATTTTTTTTTTGTCACTGATTGAATTACACCAGTGTTAGGAATAGGACTTAATTTTAGAATAAGCTAGGCTAAGACATATATGTACTACTCAAGGGCAGAAAGACCGAAAAAAATTTCGGAATTTTTTATGCAAGTTGAGGTTACAAAGCTCATAGAGTCTTTCGGGCACTATTAAATCAAATAAGGCGCTTCTTTCTAGGAGTTTTCGTTTTTCAGCTATGATTTTGTAAAGAAAACCATGTTGTGTTCCTCAGGAGCTAAAATGAGCCAAATTTCAATGTTTCGGTAGAATTTGAAAAATTTTGTTTTGCAAGGTCAAATTTCGAGTCTTGTGGGGTCTTTGAAGTTCTAGAATTTGGAGCAAGGCCAAATAACTGTAAGTTTTGAATTTCGAGTAATGATTTTTTTAGAGTGAACCGTGCTTGTTCTCCAGATGTAAAAATGAGCTTCGAGAAAAATTGGAAAATTTTTCTTTTAAAGTAAATATTTCAACAATTATAGAATGTACTGTGCTCTATCAAATGGTAGATCTCCCAATTGAATACAATATTCCGCTTTTGAGTTACGATTTTCTATATTAGACAGTGTCAGTCCTCGAAAATTTCACATGGGTTACATTGAAAAGGCCTTTAAAAATAAAAAAAAATTGGCTGTCAGAAAAAAATGTTTGCATACTAACCTCCATTCGACTTAATAGCTAGTGTTAGCCTAGAGGCTAACTATTTTGGTTTTTGAGTTAGACATTTCTTAAAGAGATCCTGCACGTTGAATAATTTTTAAATCGAGCGGGCTTTTAAGTTTTACAAAAAAACAAAATCAATTTTGTTTTTCAAATCAAATATTCCCAATTATAGAGGCTTATTTGCTCTATAAAATAGCAACATTTTCAGTAATAAAAGAATCGCTGTTGTCGAGGTATGAATTTTTAATTATAGCTATGCGTGTTGTACATATGCAAAAATGAGCAAACCTTTGAAGTTTTGCGAAATTTTTCCTGCAAAGTGCGTCGATAAATTTTTGAATTTTGTTCTAGTCAGAAATCTAAAATGTTGTAGATACTTTTGTGGTCTTTATATCGGCTTCCTGCGCCGCAAAGCCTTAGAAGTTTTTCTTTTTGAATTATGATTTTTTAAAGAAAACCGTTTTTGGTCGGCAAATTTTAAATAAGCCAAGATTCCAAGTGTCGGTAAAAATCACAAAAAATTCCCTTCAAAATTAAACCTCTCTTTATGCTCCATTTTATTCTCTATAGATGAATGCAACAGTAGTTTTGCAATTTTGATTTTCGAGTTAGGAATTTTCTAAAGAGACCGTACCTGCTTTGGAGTTTTTAAATCGGGCGGACTTTAACGTTTCAATAAAAATGTGAAATGTTCTTCGTTCAAATGAAATATTCCGCAATTATAGAGCCTTATTTGCTCTATCAAATGATAAAATTCGCAGTAATCGAAGAGATTCGGTTGTTGAGATACGAATTTTTAAATATAGTTACGCGTGTGGTACAAAAGGAGCTAACTTTTGAACTTTTTTGTTGACAGTTAGAACTTTTCTCCTGCAACTTTTACTTATTAGACCTCATAAACTGCTTTGTGCTCTTTAAAGCGAAATAATGCGCAAACTTCCAGCGGTTTTCCTTTTGGAGTTATGATTTTTTAAAGAAACCGTGTGTGCTTCTCAGTTGCTAAAATCAGCCAAGTTTCAACAATTTAAAAGCTTCGGTAAATTTTACGTATTTTTCGTTCTAAGAAAAAATCTCAATACTTATAAAGCATTTTGTGGCCTATAAATCAACGTAAGGAGCAAAGGCCTGGAAGTTCTTGTTCTCGAGCTATAATTTTTTAAAGAAAATCGTATTGGTTTCGCACCTTATAAAATTAGTCAAGACTTAAAGTGTCGGAAAAATTGGTCTTCAAAAGGAAAAACCTGCGCCGTATGCTCCCTTTAATTCTCCATAAACAGATGTAAGACACAATATTCTAGCAATTTTTCCTGAAAAGTGAAGTGAAGCGCAATCATCTAAGATTTTTTGTTATCGAATTATGAATTTTTAAACAGAACGGCGTCTGTACTGGAATTGAAAGCTTTGCCAAAAATAGAGTAAAACTGACTTTAAGACCTATATTTGAGAATTAATAGGGAATTTTCTGCTCTGTTATATGAGACAACAAGAAATTTCCCAGTCCTTGGGATTGTAAAGCATTAATTTTTTAAGGGTGCGTGTTTTGCCAAAATAAATTAATTTCCCAGAAGCTCTCTGTAGAGAAAACCAACTCTGGTTTTCTGTCTGCAAAAACAAATCATACTTTTCTTTACGCTTTTTAATTTTTCGACGCTCTTGATCTTTAAAAAATCTGTTTACAAACCAGTCAATGGTTTGCACTTTGCACTTTGTTTGGAAAATGAAACGTTTTTTTACGTTCAGGCTAATTTAGACGGAACCATTAATTAACACGCTAGAAATTCGACGAATCGGATGGCAGTGGCACATTAATGAGCTTATACTCACCCCCCAAGCTCTAAAAAGCTCGCAATTAGCCCTGAATCGATTCCAGCTTCAATGTGGCAGTATTCAAGATGAGACACAGAAAATCGTTTCACACATTTGCCTAAAGTTGTCCGGAAAAATAATTCTTGCAACGCGTCCAACATATGCAGCAACAAGTGCTTGTCTATAATTTTATAACTTTCGTAGATGTTAATTCCGAATTTTCTTAGATGGCTGGACTAACAAACGAGGACGGAAAATGGCCGGAATGTGACCTGAAACCTTACTATATCCAAATAGGAAACATTATCAACTGGATTGACACAATTGTAACGCTCTTAATACCGATGTTTTTGATTTTGATTATGAACATCAGCATAGCCAAGGTGGTGTTTCGCTCGCATAATTGGCGCTCTCCACATGAAAGAACGGTTCAAGCGGGGCGCATTTCATTCCACCATGTAGGCTCTCAGGTAAAGAACTAAAGGAAAAAATCAAAGCTGAATTTTACGGGAAATTTTGCCCATTTCAGAGCAGCAACTCGACAAGAAATTCCGAGCCGGAATATTCCAGTACCTTAACCAGACTGACGTCCGAAGATTTCTCTTTAAGACGTAAGTTTCTCTACAATCACTCCTGAAGACCGGGAGAAAAATACGATTTTCTTCCTCCAAGCGGAAATTGATATTTCATATTGCAGCTTCGCAGGCATAATTGAAAACTGATCGATTTCAGCAATACATAGTCAGGTGGAAGTGTAATGCAATATGAATTGAATCTGAAATTACTTCGATTTAATGGAGCAATTCAACGGCGTGTGGGCTTTTTGAGCGAAAAGTTCAAGCAAAAGCAAAAAAGCGCAAAGGTGCAAGTTGAGGACCCTTTATTTTGCAAAGTTTGAGCGAAATAATGCAAGAAAGTGCTAATCACTGTATCAATAGTGAACATTTTTAAAGAATATAAGTTTAGAAGTCACTTTGCTCTTGTTTATCGACATTTTTATTACCAGCTTAGTTTCGTACAAAAACCAAATTAGGTTAAACTTTCGGATTGGAGAGAATTTTTGAAATATTTTTTCAGGGCACAGACAAGCACGAACCAGCAGCCTGCAGGTGCAACACAACATCAACAAAATGCTCCTACTTATATCGTCTGTATTTGTCGCTTTGAATCTTCCCAGGTAAGCTCACACAATATTTTTTATTTACCCGTGTACATCAAAAAAGTTCCATCTGTTTATTGCTTTTCTTCTGCTTATAAAAAGGTAAATCGACGAGAGTTTACATTTAAACTGCCGAAAAAAATTAGGAAAAGTTGGTTTTCCGAGCGAAATTGTTGCAATATGTGGGCCGTTCTATTCTCTATTAACTAGCGTAAGTGAGAAATGTCTAGAAATTTTAGTTTTCGAGTTATGAATTTTTTAACGAAAACGCTGTTTGTTTCCCAGCCTGATTCAAATAACCGATAAAAAATTATTTTTATTAAATTCAATGTGCAAAATTCAGGACTTGTAGAGTAAGAGCTCTACGAAACTGTCCAACCGGTATTTACTTAAACTTTTCCAGTTTTGAGTTTTGATTTTTGAAACGAAACCCTATGCGCTCTGCAAATGTTAAAGTGAACAAAGTTTCGGTAAAATTCGGGCATTTTTTTACAAATTAGAGTTTTCCGAATCCACCGAAATTTTTGGGCCTGGAATAATGTGGAACCTTCCAATATTAATCATTTTTGAGTCAATATTTTGTTAATAAAACTGTGTGTACCTCAAGGGTTGGAATGGGCCCCGCTCAACAGTTGCGACATACATTGATAAATTTTGCTTTCAAACTGCAAATATCAGTTCTGGTATAGCCCTTTATGGCTAATAAATCAGCGTAAAGGTCAACAGCCAGGGAGTTTTTAAACTCGAAAAGAGAGTTCAAAATGACCCAAGAATCAAAGTTTGGCCAAAAATTGTAAATAAATGTATTAAATTTGAACTATTCAGGACTTAGAGTAGTTGCTGGTATTTGAAACTGTATAAGGAGTATTTGCTAAGACTTTCTTTTTTTGAGTTAGGTTTTTTTAAAGGAAACCATGTGTATTCTGCAAAGGTTAAAGTGAGCAAATTTTTGAAGTTTTAGTAAAAATTGGGACATTTTCCCTATAAAGTAAAGTTTTTAGGCTTCATAGCGCCTTTTGTGCTCTATAAAATGCAATAATTTTCAATCTTCCAGGATGTTGCGCTTTGGAGTTATACTTTTTTAAATAAAACCGTATTTGTTCTTTAGAGATTAAAGTGAGTACAATATTCGAAGCTTCGCCAAAAATTGAAAATAAACGTTTTAAAACTGAACAATTTAGGACTAGTAGAATAATTTGTGCTCTCTGAAACTGCGTCACGGGAATTTTTCTAGACATTTCCATTTTTGAGTTACATTTTTTTTAAAATCACCTACAAAACATTTTCTACAAATTGATTAAATATCCAGACCTTATTTTTTTTAAATGAAAAGCCCTGTACATAATTGATCAATTAAAAAACGCAAATTGTTCTTGTTAAGTTATCGTTATATTATATAGGAGACAAGGTTTCAATTTAATGAATTAATTATTTAAATTAGTTTTTTTTAGTTGACGATGACTCAATTTTTCCTTTTTATCCACAAAAATGTAATTTATTTTCATTTCAACGGGCAGAATACAATCAGAAAGTTTTAAGTTCTGTTGGCTTGCTTTGGGACAACCTTAATATACAGGGTGTTTCAGCTAAGTGGTATCTGAAGCCAACTAACAAAAATTAATTTTTCTATTTCAATTTAAATCAAGTATCTACTGAGAGTGCATTGCGACGCAAAAAAAACTTTAAAATGCAAAATACAAATCTTGGATATCTTGCAGTTTGGGAACGTTTCTTCATTATCTCTAAATTGCATAAAAATGATGAAATTTTCAAACATTTCAGCTACGTTCTTCGCTTAGTATTCTTCTTCGGATATTGGAACGATAATGTGGTGGAATCGTTCTGGTGTGCACATCAACTGTCCATGCTTCTATATTACACCAATTTTAGCATAAACTTTCTATTGTATGCCTTTTATGGCAAATCGTTTCGAGCTTGCTTGTACAAAATGTTTAGGGATTTATATAGTAAACTGTGGTTTCATGTTGTTGTGTAAAAACATGTAATTAAATGGCATATTTTTGAAGACTTATGTAATAAAATGGTTTTTTATTTAACCCGATCTCACAACGTTTCCGGTTCCATTGTTAAATTAAAAACAGATTATAATTTGAATCTAAATCCGGTCAATACGAGCTACATTTGAGCCCAGCAAAGAGTAAAAGGAACCTCAACCAGTTTGAAATAGGAAACTCCGATTAACAACAAAGTCCGGAAATTTCAGACATTTAACTAATTTCCAACAAACAATGCTGATGAGCTTGCGTGGGTTTAAACCCAAACAAAAGGGAAATACACTTGAAAAAAAAATCGCGATTTGCGATGGTTTTCAACTAATTTCCTTGTGTTCAATTGTCCGAAAATAAACTCCAACAAGCACCCTTGGAAAGTCTTCTCGGTCAAATCGATATTAGCACACAAAGAAAACGGTATTCCGATATTCACGACTGTTGTCTTTGGCGCGGTTCAAATCCTTTAATGCCCTCAGAGGTAAATAGTTTTAATTTATGTCACACCGAGCCCTAGTTACTAAACAAACCGCTCCGATGTGAATTAGAGGCGAACGAAAAGTTCCCGGCCTTAGGATTTTTGCAGTTGTTTTATTGGAGTCGCACAAAGCGACAGAATTACAAATTCTGGCCAACAAAGCCTTGCAAAGTGGTTGGCTCCAGTTGAAAAGTTCGCGAGTAAAACGGCTTCTTAGCAACTTACCTTCGTTTTTCCCGATCCAGTCGGCCCGACCAGCATCAAACCATGTCGAACCACCGTGGTTTCGTACAGTTGGATCACCTTCCTCACATAGTCTAAAAGGCAGACGATTTTTTTTAAATTCCACTTTTAACGGTTAAAAAGACCGCACCCTTAACGTCCTCTAAGCCTAAAGCAAGGCACGAATTCCGAATCGCCAGCTCTAGAGCTCCGTAATCCACAGCTTCTTCCACCATTCGAGGAAACAAATCCGACACTATGCCTGCAAATAAATAGTCCCTCTCCATGTGAAAACGGCGAAAATTCCATTCGCTTTCTACCATTGAATAGCTTCAGATCGTCTTTGAGGAACTTTGGGACATTCACATCTCTCAAGGCTCTGAGGCAGATTTGTCTTTCGTCCATATTGGGGTTTTCTCTCTTCAGGTTTCCTGCCACGGAAATCACTGTTTTAACTGCTCGCATTCCAAAGTCATAATGATCCTGAAACCCACAAAATTGTAGATTTTGCTCAAACACAAAACACTCAGTTTATTCGGATTAATCAATATTTCTCCACATTAATTGAGCAAAATCAAACTGATCCAATTAGTTTCCTCACGATTTTATCTTGAAACCTCCATATAATTAACCACGTGTAACCATTAGATATTATTTATTCTCCGCACACGTTAAGTCCAAATGAGCGGCGCTTGTTCGGGGGTTTGTTTAATACAAACCAGCCAGAAAAAAACCTCCAATTACGGCGCACTGAAAGCAATTTACAAAAAATGTAGCAGCCTGTTTGCTCAATATTTATGCAACAAGGGCATGAAAGCTCAAGTTTTTGTTTGTGCGGAATCCGATTCCACGATATAATATAAACGAGCTGAAATTCCAGATGCTTTGCCAAGGAAATTGACACGAAACTATTCGCTATTGAGTTTCTATGCTTCAATGATTTACATTCTTAATAAAACGAAACTTCCTTTTTGGAAAGTCGTCCAAACTAAGCAACAAATGGCATCGAACAACAACTAAAATAATTTAGAAAATCCAATTAAAAGCTGCAGCAGTTAGCAACATCCCCTCGTAAATAAGAAAAGCGCAACAAGGCCGGCGATTTCCGATATGTGGTTCTCACTCTTGACCACGGCGACTACTCTAAGCAAATACGTCCGTCTACTACCGGGTGCGCTCAAACTGTACCTTACACTGTCCAGTATTCGCAATAAACTATCCAATAAATAATTGGAAAATTCGATTCAATAGTTGACTAGACCAACAAAAAGTCATCTCAATCTAAGACAAATTTGCTGTTTACCTGCGAGCTTAATTGTTCAGAACTCAGCTTGAAAGTGGTGGTGATTTTATTGGCCAATTGCTTGGCGTTGCCGAACCCGAAGGAAAACAGGGAAATTTCCGCAATCAAGCTGTAGTTGGGTACCATCATGGAAACTGGCCGGAAAAGCGCCTTCAGGTTGTCTGGAAGTTCCGTCCGGCCCGCATATCCTGCAATCCAGTCACTCTTAAACAATTGCCTAGGTTTTGCTCTTCAATCGAACCGGGATTCATGGTGATGAAAACGGCACAGGATTCTTTGAGCATGATTTCCGAGCCTTCAAACAGGAATCGGTCCAGCCTGGCTTGTTGGGCCTTCTGAATAGTCGTTATCTGCTGGGCGACTACAGATAAAACCTGGAACCGATTGGAATCAAACCAACTCCAGCAGGATGGATTAGGTGCAAAACCGCGCACTTCTATATCAATGCGATTGAACTCGTCGAAACAAGCCCATGCTCCTGAACTGGCCAGTCCCTTGAAGAACTTGCCCATAGCCATAAAATCCAGTTGATCCGAACAGTTGAAGACCACGCATTGAATAGCGAAAGCCTTCGCCAAGTCCTTGGTAGTTTCAGTTTTGCCTGTGCCTAAACCGGGGATTTTAGCTGCAAAAGTTCAAGTTTCTCCTTCCAACCAACCTGCTGGCCCCGCAGGGGCCCCACCAAATTTCAAGTGCAAAGCCCCAGTTAAAGTGAGGTAACATCGATCAGTCAGCGGCGTAATTACCAGTCGGCCACTATTTCCTAGATATTCGTAGCCGTAGCTGAACTCAGCGTTCACTGCCCGTACCTTCATTTGCTGTTCCACCCAGTAGTATCTGGAAAAGTGTCAATGAAGTACTTGCCTGCCAAAGGAAATTTCGAAAATATCCTCACCTCAACTGGCTGATCCAATCAAAGTCGTTGGGGCTATTAATGTTCAAGTCGACCAAGTTTTGCGTAACATCCCTGGAATGCACCTCAATAACAATCAGAGCCGACAGGATTTCCCGTTGCAGGAAACTCAAGCTGCCTTTCACCAGGCTTCTTAGAGCGTCCAGATTGACGATAACGACTTCCTCTTGGAATTGCGCTAATTTACTCTCTTTTATTGCCTGTTCGACTCCAGCAGTCCAGAATGCCTGGCTGCAAGCTATAACGACTTGTCCAGGCCAGCAAAGCACCCAATCTGGATTTATACGAAAAGTTGGGGGAATTTTCGCCCAAGTCGAGAAGACCTGGCAAACCTTTTCGGCTTTTTTCCTCCATATCGGCCAGGGAATTTCCCAGATTAATGCGCACAGTATTTCGCATTGTTCCCTCCACATGAAGAAGCCAATTTTCCACATTTCCAGTCGGGTACAGAGGTGGCACCAAATCGACGCATTCTTCTTCGGCCGAGAACATTTGCGTAATGCGCAAATCGTCTTCAAAAGTAAGCTGAAAAACATGCATATGGTTTTTGAGATATTGGGCTTTTTTCATTGCTCTTGGAGCAAATTTCCTCAAATGTCCACTGAGCCTGTTGAGAACCCAACGAAACACTCAATTCCTCATTACATACCCGGGCAATGTTCTCAAAGCACTTTCGCAGATGAGGCTGGACGGCCAGAGGGTTTTTGGCCTGGGAAAGGATTTCCAACAGTTCATCGTCGCTGAGAAAGTACAGTCGCGGAAAAGTGATCCTCTTCGTCTCCAAGTACTCAGATAGGCCCTTCTGAACCACTTGCAGAATGTGATTGGCGTCCTTCAGGCTTTCCAACAGTCTTCTATCGCCGCAGTATTGGATTACCTGAAGGAAAAATGTTTCTGAGGCTTTATTATTTTGATGAACATAAAAAGCAACCAATAAACCAATAGCGACTTCAAATATAAATAAAAGATATCAAATAAACAGCCTACAAATTATACGTGAAACTGACCTCTTCTGCATTTTCCTGCCGATCATTTTCAGTATGATTTTCGACGCTTACAAGCGCTCAATTTTTTACTTTTCTGTTCCTAAAGCCGTTCTTAAATCGTTTTAAATTCAATTTAATTTCGAAAATTACGGCTCACAGAACGCCACTGCCTAGAGTTAACATAACTCTTAAATTGTATATACTTTCCTGACTGTGTTTCAATTCCAAATCAAAATTAATTCCTGGGTTTCAGTCATTTATTGTCTTTATTTATCAATTAAAATAC